CACCAGAGAGGCCCAGACCTCCCAGACTGCTCTGCTGCAGCTGGTAGAGGAGCTCAAAGAGAAGCTTCAGACTAAACAGGAGCAGATACAGGCCTTCAAAGCACAGTGTGAGAATGTCCAGAATGAACACAACAAGGAGCTGGAGGACAAAGAGTGTGAGATCCATCATCTGAAACAACAGAAGGCTTCTGCTTTTGCTGCACAAGTGGAGGAAGCCCGAGAAGCTGTGTGGGCGGAGATCGCAGACCTGAAAGTCGCCAACTTTGACCTCGAGGTAAAGGTGATGAAAAGTGATAATCGAACCCAGGCCCTCCAGGACAACCAGAGGGCCGAAGAAGAGAAAAGTCTGAAAGGTCAGGTGACCGAGCTCAGACAAGTCCTGCGAGAGGAGAAACAAGAGACTGAGAATTTGTGGAGTGAGGAGGAGGAACTAAAGAGCACTGATATGAAAAATACTACAGAACGTCCTGCCTGCAACAGAGACGTCAAAGAAGTCCTCAAAGAGAAGCTTCAGCAGCTCCACCGAGATCAGCTGTGTTCAGAGAAAAAGAGCCGCTTGATCCTGGAGCAGCAGGTACAGAAGCTGTCTGAGGACCTGACCTCCTCTCAGGACTACAACACTGCTCTGGAGCTCCAGGTTCATGAGCTCCAGGACAAAGTCAACGGGCTGCACAAGAAGAAGAAGAGGAGGAGGAGTTGGTGGTGTTTCTAAAACAAACACAGACATTAGTGTTAGACGTGGTGTTCAGGACAAAGCTAGCATCACGCTAACATGACACTAAACTAGATCTTTATCTTGTCGAGTCATACGTTACTTGAGGAGGTATGATCTTAGTCAGTGAACATAGTTAGTATCCAGAGGATCTAACATGACTTCAGAGGTTTCACCTGCTTTAAGATGTTTCTGGTGAGTTTTCTCACATTTTAATTTAAACAAGAACTTTTGGCCAATGGAATAAGTTCTTGTTTCATTGGCAAAGTAATTGTTTACTGTTAAAGTTGTGTGTAACTGGTCAGGAATCTCTAACAAGTCAAACTTCAGATATGTGTTTCAGTGCATAAACCAAAGTGAACGTACTCTTACCCTTTATCTTGTTGAGCAATAAATAAACAAATGCATTCTTATAAACTGTGTTCTTATTAACTTTTTGATTCTGTTGAGAAACCAAATACAGATGACTTTATGTCCAAATGAGGATTAGGAGAAATTGCAGTAAACCTAGAAGTAAGCATTAACATTAAAGGACCCATATTACTTTTTTTGACTTTTCTCAGCTTTAAACATGATTACAGTGGTATTCGGCCTCATACACGTGTCCATGGTAGTTTTTTCATTGATTCTGTCAAGCGTTAGATAGAGTGATAGAAAGTGATAAAGAGACAGTAGCGGACCCCCTAAATGCCTTCACTGCTCGCCTAAACACAAGTGCTAGCTTATAGTCAAAAAAAATTAACCTGGAGCTTTAACCAATCAGTGATGTTAGGACACCGCTGCAGGCGCAGGTCTGAAATGCAAGGCCCGCCACTGTTTGAAAGGCCCGCCACTGTTTGAAAGGCCCGCCACTGTTTGAAAGGCCCGCCACTGTTTGAAAGCACGCCACTGTTTGAAAGGCCCGCCACTGTTTGAAAGGCCCGCCACTGTTTGAAAGGCCCGCCACTGTTTGAAAGACCCGCCACTGTTTGAAAGGCCCGCCACTGTTTGAAAGGCCCGCCACTGTTTGAAAGGCCCGCCACTGTTTGAAAGACCCGCCACTGTTTGAAAGGCACGCCACTGTTTGAAAGACCCGCCACTGTTTGAAAGGCCCGCCACTGTTTGAAAGTACTGGGAAAAGTACAGACAGTTGAGAAATGTTTGTACCACCAAAACAAGAAACTCCAGGGCTAACTACTATAGAAACAGTTTGACCAACAATTTTAAAAATCCAAAACGGTTCTGGAAACAAATGAATAGTGTGCTTGGCAAATCCAGTACGACCACGAACAATATGATTATTAACAATGAGGTCTCCAATGACCCTTCCACTATAGCCAATGCCTTCAGCTTGCACTTTTCACAAACGCCACAGGTCCATCCCCCCTTTCATCAAGTTGTTCCGGATCGCCAGCCGTGCAACAGTTCATTCTCTTTCACCGAGGTTAGTCCTGTTGATGTACTTTTTTTTAAGTTTTTAAAAAAGTTTTAAGGTTTTAAGTGAACTTTCTTTCAACAGCAGTGCTGGACCTGATGGTATTGAGAGCAAATTTCTTAAAATAGGTGCACATGTCCTGGCTTCTCCACTAGCCTCACTTTTTAATTTATCTCTTTCCAGCTGTAATGTCCCTCAAACATGGAAATGTGCAAAAGTAATACCCTTACATAAATCAGGTTCCACTGACAGCATCAATAACTACAGACCCATTTCCATTATCAACAGTATTGTCAAAATATTTGAGAAATTAATTTTTATTCAACTTTCAACCTATCTCACCAATAACAACCTATTATCCCAATCTCAATCAGGATTTAGAAAGCATTTCAGTACAACTACTGCCCTCCTGAAATTTACAAATGATGTGTTTTCTAGTTTTGACAAAAGTATGTTCACTGGTGCATTATTTCTTGATTTGACGAAAGCTTTTGACTTGGTTGACCATTATTTACTTTTGGACAAACTCCACAGCATTGGCCTCTCCAGACCAGCACTTCTCTGGTTCAACTCCTACCTGCACTCTCGTCGCCAGTGTGTTTCCTTTGGGGGCAGCCAGTCCAACTTCACAGTCATTGAAAAAGGCATTCCACAAGGCTCCTCACTTGGTCCTCTTCTCTTCTCTATCTTTATTAATGATCTCCCGACTATCTGTTCCAACTGCACTATTGAACTTTATGCCGATGACACTGTTATTTACTGTTCCAATTCTAATATCCCTGACATCTGCAACTCTTTACAACACAACTTTGACATTGTTCAACACTGGCTCCTTTCTAACAAACTTCTGCTCAACAAAACCAAATCCTACTCCATGCTTTTCAAGAAGACCAATAAACCTCTCCCTGATTTAAATCTCCACTTTCTAGATCTGTCCCCAGTCAAATGTGTGGACAACCTTAAGTATCTTGGTCTTTGGCTAGACTCAAATCTTTCTTTCAATACCCATATTCACAAAACTGTACACAAAATTAACTATTCACTGAAAACACTTTATCAATCCATTGACTGTTTTAATTTATCTGCACGGAAAAGGATTATTTCACAACTACTACTTCCCATATTAGACTATGCAGACATAGTTTACCAAAATACCACCTCCACTTCTCTCCATCCTCTGAGCACTGCCTACAACAGCCTGTGCAGGTTCATTCTGCGCTGCCCCTACAGGACCCATCACTGTGACATGTACCAGCAGCTGTCCTGGCTCTCTCTGTCCCAAAGACGTCACTCTCACTGGTTGTTTTTCATTTATAAATGTTATTTTTTGGATTACCCTCTTTATTTAAAGCAATATTTAACCCCTTTTAATTCCTCTTATAATCTTCGTCACACAAACCAGCTTTTCTTTCACACTCCTCGTGTGAAGAAAGAACTTGGCAAATATGCTTTCCAATATAAAGCCCCAAACGACTGGAATCACCTTCCGGCCTCTATTCGCTCTTTAACTTCTTTTTCTCTTTTTAAAGTTGCTGTACAAAGGCATCTGTGTAATGTTTGTAACTGCTACTGAACTTTCCTTTAAATATTATATCCTTTGGTTTTCACTGTCCTAGTTTGAGGAGTAGGGTGACCTCTGACCTCTGAGAGCTCTGTGTGTGTGTGTGTGTGTGTGTGTGAGCGAATGTTTCTGTCCTTGTATTGTTTTTGTTAGTTTTTTTGTCTGTTATTTTATTGAATTTATTTACTGTAATTTGTTATGTTTTTTATTTGTTACACTTTACTGTAACTGCATTTATTTGACAACCGCTGCTGCTACTTGTGTTGCTATTTTTGAGGACCCTCCTGAAAACGAGATGATGCATCTCAAGAGGCTATTCCTCGTAATAAAGATATGTTAAATGTAATGTAAAAAGGCCCGCCACTGTTTGAAAGGCCCGCCACTGTTTGAAAGGCCCGCCACTGTTTGAAAGGCACCATGAAATAAAATGAATTAATGATATATGATACTATGTTATATTTAAAAATATTAAAAAGAATAATTTACATCAAGGACTCGCTGGTCCTCAATATTTTAATAATACAGTCTTACCTAAATAAACAATAATAATACTGTTAAACTAGCTGAGTAAGGGCGACAGTAGCTCAGTTGGTAGAGCATTGGCCTTTGAGCCTGAAGGTCGTGGGTTCGAGCCCATCATGAGACCTACTTCATGACTCCCACTGATGACTGCTGTCGTTGTGTCCTTGGGCAAGACACTTAACCCTACTTTGCCCAAAGCCCCCGCTGAATGATCTCAGCTCCTGTGGACTCACCACCTGCAGGAGGATCAGTGAGGGGCTGGTGCTCTGTGGACTGGGTGCAGCTCTGACTGCCACCCCCCCGACCCAGAAATGGATTAAGGGGAAGAAAATGGATGGATGGATGGATAGCTGAGTATTACAAAAACTAGATATGATTTTAATGCCATGTGTGATTGTGTCTCCTTGTTTTGTTATACAGATAAACTTGCCTCGTCTGAAGTGCAGATAGTGACAAAAAAAAGTTACACACATCCGCTCATAAGTTTCTGAGTTATCTTTTGTTACTTCCTGCTGGATAAAGGTAACAATAAATGAAAGTGGACTTCTGAAATACTCCCTCATGACAGGGAGTATTTCACACAGACTTTGATGTGGATTTGAATGTTTTTGTGGGATTATTTTAAAAATGATTCAATTTAGTTCAATTTGAAATGTGTCAGAAGCACTTCAAAGCTTCGTACACCCACAAATGTCTAAAGTTCCATCAGCAGTAAAACTAAATCCATGCTCCGTTGGCTCCAAGTTGTTCTCAGCAGAATCAGGCTCTCAGGTCGCCTCCCTTATCTCACGATGGTTTCCTGCTTCTCTCCGTCTGCTGGGTGTGCTCTTCTGTTCTGCTGTTCCACTTCTGATGCAGTGTGTGAAGAGATTACTGCAGGGCCAAATCCAAACCGGCTGAATATAGAACCACTAACTTATATATTCTGTGTGCACGGGAACAGCTCGTGTAATTATCCCTGAGCGGAGAAGCCACAGACACATGTAGAGATCAACAGTTTAGTCAGGACCGTACTTTAGAGCCTGTCCACTTCCACAGCGTCTCAGCTCGACTCGTGGATTCTTCTAAACATTTACCACTTCGCACTTATGGTTATATTAGTGACATGTTAGTACCATATGAACCAGCCCGGACTCTGAGGAGCACAGGGACTGGACTCCTGTTAGTGCCCAGAGTCAGGACTTAACATGGGAAGGCTGCTTTTCAGATTCATGCTTCTAAAATCTGGAACAATCTTCCTGAAGATGTGAGACAGGCCTCCTCTCTGACAATGTTTAAAACCAGGTTAAAGACAGTTCTGTTTAGCTGTGCATACAACTGAGGGATTTTATATTTATAGGCCCGAGCCCCGAACAGGGTAAGGGCCTATTGCTTTCACAATGGTGAATGCAAATGATGGCGGTCTGTGACGAACGTGTCAGCGCCCGTCAGCGGCGTGGTGCGGGGCGGCGTGGTGCAGGGTGGCTTTGTGTGGGGCAGCGTGGTGTTGGATAGGCGTGTTGCGGAGCGGCGTGTTTTGCGGGGCGGCGTGTTGCGGGGCGGCGTGTTGCGGGGTGGCTTGGTGCAGGGCGCCGTGGCGTGGGTGGTGCGCGTGGTGCGGGGAGTCGCGTGGTGCGGTGAGGGCTGTTCGACGCCGCTTGCGGCTTTAATTGTATCTTTCTTTTTAATGTACAGTACTGTGATTATTGATGATTTTAATGCTATCTTATTTTGTTCAGCACTTTGAGTTGTAAATAAGTGGTTATGCATGAATGGAATAACAATGGTTTAGAGCTAGTTTTTGAGGCCCATAGAATAAGGTGATGTTGGCTGCTTTACTTTAACACTGGAACTCCCACAGCAGTCATTTTGACGGCTTTTGGTTTGAAAAGGGTACGGTGGCACGGTGGCTGAGTGTATAGCGCTCTCATTTCTCAGCAAGAAGGTCCTGGGTTCGAATCCCAGTCGGAACAGGGCCTTTCTGAGTGGAGTTTGCATGTTCTCCCCGTGTCTGCGTAGGTTTCCTCCAGGTACTCCGGTTTCTCCTACCACTAAAAACATGTACAATAGGTATGGCATGCGTCTCCTGTCCTGGCCCCGCTCCCATCTCTGTGTGGAGTGAGAGACTAATGCCCACAATTGTAAACCGCTTTGACTCTGGTCTGTGGAAGACGGTATTTAGAAAAGAATTACTCATGTACATTTTTGTACAACTTTGTGACTTTTTCTGTATCTTTATGGAGTTTATTTCAGTGTCATTAAATCTATGAAAGTGAGATGTAACTTTAACTTCCAGATTCATTAAATGTAAAAATCAAACTACAACCAACTTCCTACGATTGTTAACGCAACTTTTCTCAAGCTGCTGGTCCTGGACTGGATCAGAATAATCTCATTTTGGGGGTATTTCAATTTATATTCACCAGGTTTAGAACTTTTTAAAGGTGAGTAAAGGTACAAACCACATAAAATGCTTTGTTTTAAAAGATATATCTGGGAGTCCTAGTGTTTACTGGGCCAATTCTGATTCACACGCAACAGAAATTCTTTATTTGTGGACGGAAAACACCAACACAAGTGCACAGATCTCTGGTTTTTATTTTTTTCTTAGCCAATTGATAAAATATAACCCTAAAACTACTGGAAATGTTAAAGACAGGCCCCTCCTGCTTAGAGTCAAATTAAACTGTCGACGGGTGTTTTGTGAATAAATCAGACCGAAGCAGTGGTGAAAGTGTGACACAATTCACCAGGAGTTTATTACAGCTTTGAGAAAGAGTTACAGGGGGTTATAAAATGACAATGTAGATAGACAACAGAGATATGAAACTGGTGTGAACAAGAATATGTAATGTATTAAAATGAGAGGTCCTAATCAGACACAGAGTACATGAAGGCTTTGGTATTGTCTTGTGTTTGTCCAACGCCCAATCCACTCAGGTCATAGTTCACAAAACATAATGTACATAAACAGGGATTTCACATGTATTCTCTCTGGAGCTTTTTGCTAAACTACAGGTACCTAAGTCTCATTTCTCTTTGTCTCAGCTGTAAAAGAAAACTTGTTAAAACACAGAATTTTGTCATTCTACAGTAAAATAGTAGCCTTGCCCCGCTAACATACAATACAATACAATTTATTCTTGTGTAGCCCTGAATCACAACAGAAGTCATCTCAGAGGACTTAACAAAACCATTGAAATTACCAACACAGATCAGAGAGTCAACAGTTAGGACACAGAAAAACACAAAAGGAGAGACTAATGTCCATGAATGTTGATAAATGTCCTTAAATGTTGTAAAATACTAAAGTGTCCTGGATTATCACTACAATCATTCTTGTTAGACACTAACAGACCCTCCTGCATAGATCCTATCCACAGACACTTTATAACCTCAGTCATATTTACCATGGAAAATGTTGGCAGACGTTGGAGTTTTATCTTTCTTTGTGCATAGATTGTTATAATTAGAGCGATTTGGGTCAAAACTACAGGGCCTCAGCCTCACAAAGAGTCCTGGTTTTTCTACTCCAAAGGGTTCTCAGACCGATGCAGTTTGAACATTGCAGGTGTTAAAGGTGACGGTAGTAAGTGTTCTCTCCTGTTTCTCCGCAGTGGAGAAGTGGTACAAGCGTCACCTGACCTACCAGATTGTGAACTGGCCTCGTCACCTGTCTCCCGGCTCCGTGCGGCTGGCGGTGCGTGCGGCCTTCCAGCTTTGGAGCAACGTGTCGGGCTTGGCGTTCCAAGAGGCCCCTGAAGGAGCTGTGGCGGACATCCGACTGGCCTTTTACGACGGGGACCACAATGACGGAGCCGGCAACGCCTTCGACGGCCCAGGTCAGAGCCAGGGCTGTAGTGACAGACGCCCATTGTGGAGACAGACATGAGTGGTGCCGATGGTGTGATCACTGTTTTGTGTGACTCACTCCAGCTGGAACCTGCATGTATGTAATTTGTACTCTGGGCAAATAGATCTTTATCCCTGCTTCCTGAATACACGTCTTACTGTTTATGTGTGTACAATAACAGGACATCGCTGCACTAACAAACAAACAGATTGATGTAATAACAGCCTGAGCTCTCACAGTAGTGTCTCCTGTATATACTGTATATCCCTTTGGTCAGTCTTACAAATACGTCTCAATATGACATGTTTTCATTTTTAAAGTCATCTCCATGGCCTCTACTATGGCAACATTACAAGTAAGCCATTTGTTTATTGTATGTTCATCGGTGTTTCATATCGTAGTACATTACTCACATAAACCTGCTCAATATTCTGAAATGCTGTTATTTTAGTTGTTTACTTGATACATAACAGGCAGGAGTGTGACCTGGGTGTGTGTCCTTCTGTATTCTTCATCTCTATCAGTGCAGAAATCAGTTTCAAAATGCAAAAACAAATGTAAATACTGAAGCCCAAAAAAGGATCAATTAAGATCCTGTAGATACAGTAGATAGAACTTTGTTCTCCCCTGAGGGAAATTCGTTTTCACAAACACTGTCACATACAAGTCACAAAAGGCACAAGATACACAGAAAAACACACAGAGAGAAACACATACAACACAGGAACAAGGGCAACACTACAGACTGTGAAGAGCTGCTACAGCTGAAGGGACAAAACTCTCACTAAATCTTGCCTTTATTTATTTTTTACTAAATAAAAGCCTTTATTACCACGTGGCAATGAACCAAAACACCAATGCTTTTATGCAGCGTGTCTTCATCAGGGCGAGGGTAAAGGTTCAGGACTCTAGAATGTGTGTCTGACCTCCGGGTGCTCCGCAGGGGGGACGCTGGCCCATGCCTTCCTGCCCCGTCGTGGAGAGGCTCACTTCGACAGAGCAGAGAGATGGACTCTAAATGGCCATAAGGGACATAACCTGTTCCTGGTGACGGCCCATGAGATCGGACACACTCTGGGCCTGGAGCACTCCCCCGTCAGACACGCCCTCATGTCGCCTTACTACCGCAGACTGGGCCGCCGCCTGCTGCTCAGCTGGGACGACATCATCGCTGTGCAGCAGCTCTACGGTGAGACATGCACTTGGTCGATGGCATTGTGTCTGTATTACTGTATTAAGACAGGGACACTGATGTCATTCCCAATCTGTTCAGCAACGAATCATTCCTGGGAGGAGGTGATGTTCTCTTTAATCCTGTTTCAAACCATGTAAATCCAATTTAGACAATGACAATTCATACTGACAGACCGCAGACCCACTCTCCTGCAGAACGGGTCTCACAGATGAAATTGAACCCTCAATGAACTCCTGTGTTTCTTTATTTATGGACATATATATTGAATAGAACGACTGGTGTCGTACTAAGTCATGATGATCCACTCTCTGCAGACTCGTAGAGAGAACATACCAGGGCAGCAGGTGTGTATGTACATTTGATCTATTCTGTTACATTCCTTCCATCTATATATCAGCCTTTGTGGCCCGAGTCCACCTCAGATCTTTGGCCCCAAAGGAACATTTCTTTCTTTCAAAGCAATGGTTTGTCATTTGTCGTTTGCTTTTGCACAGTTAACACAACGTATAAAGTTGAGAAATGACAAACATGTTATGGCTGCTTTGAATTCAAGCTGTGAGTTTTAAACATGAAAACAAACCTTGCATAAACTGCTAACAAGAGGATTAGGGAAAACAAGGCGAGACTGGATTGTCATACGGCCATAAAGTGGCTGTGCTGATGTGGGAGGCAGACGGCTGGGAACAACAATAGTGAGAAGAAATAGAAAGAGCCTTTTGATCTGTTCGACCGGAAGAGAAGACTGTGCAGGTGTCTCATAATACACATTCTCAGACACCCATTGGCTCCATGCTGAGACTGCTGCTGAACTCATCTCTCATTTTCTCTCATCCAAACTGTAATTTATTACATATTGTTTTAGCTGGAACAACTATTTCAGAATAAAAGACTGCTCCGTACTTATAACTGTGGGTCTCTCTATTTCAAGGCTCCTAAGCCATAAATTATACTTGTAAAATATATCCTCGCCTGGAGCTGTGCTGGGTCCCTCATCAGTAAATCGCTTCTCACCAACTGTGAGGTTTTTATTATCTCCAACAACAATAAAAATAGGGTAATTGCCTTTTTATTACTTGTCATTTACCCAAGAGTAGTCAAATTGACAGCTTTTAGCTCATGTACCTTTTTGCTCTTCATAATTTATAAATCTATATGTAGTTTATTTCTATGTCATTACGTCATGCCAAGTTTCATGTTTAAATTTAATGGGTGGAACTGCTTTTGTTTGAAGGCAGAACACTGCTCTGAGTGTGATGTCATAGTGCTACAATGGCATCAGACTATTACCGCATGGAGTCAGGAAGTTGTAGACAGAGAAAAAGCTCAAAACAGTCGATTTTTTACAAGTGGGAAAAATCTAAATCAGGCAAAGTGGGGTGAAGTGTCTTGTCCAAGGACACAACGACAGCAGACATCAGTCTGAAGTCTTGTGATGGAGCACACTGACAGAAGCGAGGCAACCAGTCTGTGCCATCGGCCCCTCCGACCACCACCAACCATTTATGCTCATTCAGACTCATTCTAGGCAATGTGGGGGAAGTGTCTTGCCTAAGGACACAACAACAGTTAGGCACTTTACACCCGCAGACGCCCCACTGTGGCACCTGGTGTTCCCAGAGGTCTCCCATCTCAGTGCTAACCAGGCCCTGTCCTGCTTTGCTTCAGAGGTCTGAAACACATACAGAATTTCACATACTGTATGTGGCCATACCTGCATGTGAAATGTCGTAGTAGTAGAAGCAGCAGCAGCAGCAGCAGCAGTAGTCGCAGCAGCAGTAGTAGTAGTAGCAGTAGTAGTAGTGGTAGTAGGGGCAGCATCAGTAGTATAGTAGTAGTAATAGTAGTGGTAGTAGTAGTAGCAGTAGTAGTGGTAGTGGTAGTCCATATGAAGTAATATTATGCATTATTTGTATCCATTACAAATGATAATGAGACTGTTTACTTCCTGTCATATTTTATAATGTGAAATGTAAGTGATATGTCTCCTTTAAGTTTTTGTTCTAATCTTCAGAAGCAGAGGTTCGAGGCGATCTCTGTCCTCTCCGCGGTTACTTCCTGATCCTTTCACACTTGACTGTCGTTGTTAAAAATGCACAGACATGTTTTGGCACATTTCTGTCTGATCGCTCACGCTGCTGTCAATATCAGCCAAGCCTCGACACAGCTCTGCTCTCTCTGCTCTCTCTGCATCTGGGCTAATTGTTCAGGAATGTTCTGGAGGTTAATGACGCAGAGGACCTGATCTCCCAGCAGGAGTAGTAGTAGTAGTAATAGTAGTAGCAGTAGCAGTAGTAGCAGTAGTAGTAGCAGTAGCAGTAGTATCAGTAGTAGTAGCAGTAGCAGTAGTAGCAGTAGCAGTAGCAGTAGTAGCAGTAGTAGTAGCAGTAGCAGTAGTAGCAGTAGTAGTAGCAGTAGCAGTAGTATCAGTAGTAGCAGTAGTAGCAGTAGTAGCAGTAGCAGTAGCAGTAGTAGCAGTAGTAGTAGTTTCCTTCTTATCACTTAAATAAAACTCTCCTGAACTGTGATTCCTAAAAAGGTATTTTCTCCAAGTCCTCGGCCTCTGTCCCTTCATGACCAAACCCACGCCACCTCACCTCACCCACGCCTCTCCTCACCCACACCTCTCCTCACCCACGCCTCGCCTCACCCACACCTCTCCTCACCCACACCTCGCCTCACCCACGCCTCGCCTCACCCACACCTCTCCTCACCCACACCTCGCCTCACCCACGCCTCGCCTCACCCACACCTCGCCTCACCCACGCCTCCCCACGCCTCACCTCACCCACACCTCGCCTCACCCACGCCTCCCCACGCCTCACCTCACCCACGCCTTGCCTCACCCACGCCACACCTCACCTCCACCCACGCCTCGCCTCACCCACGCCTCGCCTCACCCACACCTCGCCTCACCCACGCCTCCCCACGCCTCACCTCACCCACGCCTTGCCTCACCCACGCCACACCTCACCTCACCCACGCCTCGCCTCACCCACGCCTCGCCTCACCCACGCCTCGCCTCACCCACGCCTTGCCTCACCCACGCCTTGCCTCACCCACGCCTTGCCTCACCCACGCCTCTCCTCACCCACGCCACACCTCACCTCACCCACGCCTCGCCTCACCCACACCTCTCCTCACCCACGCCTCGCCTCACCCACGCCTCGCCTCACCCACGCCTCGCCTCACCCACGCCTCGCCTCACCCACGCCTCGCCTCACCCACGCCTCTCCTCACCCACGCCTCGCCTCACCCACGCCTCGCCTCACCCACGCCTCGCCTCACCCACGCCTCGCCTCACCCACGCCTCGCCTCACCCACGCCTCGCCTCACCCACGCCTCGCCTCACCCACGCCTCGCCTCACCCACGCCTCGCCTCACCCACGCCTCCCCACGCCTCACCTCACCCACGCCTTGCCTCACCCACGCCTCGCCTCACCCACGCCTCGCCTCACCCACGCCTCGCCTCACCCACGCCTTGCCTCACCCACGCCTTGCCTCACCCACGCCTTGCCTCACCCACGCCACACCTCACCTCACCCACGCCTCGCCTCACCCACACCTCTCCTCACCCACGCCTCGCCTCACCCACGCCTCGCCTCACCCACGCCTCGCCTCACCCACGCCTCGCCTCACCCACGCCTCTCCTCACCCACGCCTCGCCTCACCCACGCCTCGCCTCACCCACGCCTCGCCTCACCACCCTCGCCTCACCTCGCCTCGCCTCACCCACGCCTCGCCTCACCCACGCCTCGCCTCACCCACGCCTCGCCTCACCCACGCCTCGCCTCACCCACGCCTCGCCTCACCCACGCCTCGCCTCACCCACGCCTCGCCTCACCCACGCCTCGCCTCACCCACGCCTCGCCTCACCCACGCCTCCCCACGCCTCACCTCACCCACGCCTTGCCTCACCCACGCCTCGCCTCACCCACGCCTCGCCTCACCCACGCCTCGCCTCACCCACGCCTTGCCTCACCCACGCCTTGCCTCACCCACGCCTTGCCTCACCCACGCCACACCTCACCTCACCCACGCCTCGCCTCACCCACACCTCTCCTCACCCACGCCTCGCCTCACCCACGCCTCGCCTCACCCACGCCTCGCCTCACCCACGCCTCGCCTCACCCACGCCTCTCCTCACCCACGCCTCGCCTCACCCACGCCTCGCCTCACCCACGCCTCGCCTCACCCACACCTCGCCTCACCCACGCCTCGCCTCACCCACGCCTCGCCTCACCCACGCCTCGCCTCACCCACGCCTCGCCTCACCCACGCCTCGCCTCACCCACGCCTCGCCTCACCCACGCCTCCCCACGCCTCACCTCACCCACGCCTTGCCTCACCCACGCCACACCTCACCTCACCCACGCCTCGCCTCACCCACGCCTCGCCTCACCCACGCCTCGCCTCACCCACGCCTCGCCTCACCCACGCCTCGCCTCACCCACGCCTCGCCTCACCCACGCCTTGCCTCACCCACGCCACACCTCACCTCACCCACACCTCTCCTCACCCACGCCTCGCCTCACCCACGCCTCGCCTCACCCACGCCTCGCCTCACCCACGCCTTGCCTCACCCACGCCTTGCCTCACCCACGCCACACCTCACCTCACCCACACCTCTCCTCACCCACGCCTCGCCTCACCCACACCTCTCCTCACCCACGCCTCACCTCACCCTCACCTCTCCTCACCCACACCTCTCCTCACCCACGCCTCTCCTCACCCACGCCTCGCCTCACCCACGCCTCTCCTCACCCACGCCTCGCCTCACCCACGCCTCGCCTCACCCACGCCTCTCCTCACCCACGCCTCGCCTCACCCACACCTCTCCTCACCCACGCCTCGCCTCACCCACGCCTAGGGTTGCCAACTTGAGAACAAAAAAATAAGGGACACCATTTGGGTGGATCGGGTTGAGCACTTTTTAGTCCTAATTTCAGTCTACACAGTAATCATGGAATTTCACAATCACAGTTTTTAGATTGTAATTTATTGACTACATATAAAAAAAAAATCCTTAGTCAAAAATGAAATTGAATAAATAGGTGGAACTCTGGCTGGTTAAGGACTTAATGCATTCTTATTAGTAATATAAAAAAATTAAAAAATATAAAAAAGACAAATACTGTAACATACATTATTTATGAATGTTACAGTAAAGACCAATTTCTGTAAAAGCAGATAAAAAAAGAAAAACATGTATTCATTAAAAACTCACAAATCAGCCTGTAGTAGTTCATCTACTAGTTCATGTAGTAGTCATCATTATTTATATTGTCTGAGTTTTGTGCAGGTTTGTGGCTTCAGTAAAAGCTATTGTTCGTTTACAAAGCTGGTCTGGATATTTGTTGACGGTCCCTAAGTGCTTTTCTCGGCGCTTGCAGTGCATTGGATTCAGAGGATTTCTCTGCATTAAAACAGCGCATTGAATTTGTAAAACATAGAGATGATCATTTTAGCACAATTACTTTTGTTTAACAAAGTAGCTTTCGTGAGCTATTGACCGCGGAAGTCCGAATTTGGGAAAATGACGCTACTTTACCAAACTTCTGACGTGATGGTGCTGCGGGCACGGCCCACGCTGGCGCCTGTCAACATTAAACCAACGTCTGTGATCAAGCCTACGCCCCTTTGACACTGATTGGCCGAAAGGTAGATGCTTCAACTGTGATCATTACTGTGTGTGTGTGACATGCAGTGAGTGAGTGATGCATTTGAGGTGGCTCTGAAAATACGGGACAAAAGCCGTCCCGTATCAGTTCAATACGGGACGCACATAGTTTTTCTATAATACGGGACAATTCCGTATTTCAAGGGACGGTTGGCAACCCTACCCACGCCTCTCCTCACCCACGCCTCGCCTCACCCACGCCTCGCCTCACCCACGCCTCGCCTCACCCACGCCTCGCCTCACCCACGCCTCGCCTCACCCACGCCTCGCCTTGCCTCTGCTGCGTCCCCTTTCAGAAGGCTACAAGCTCACATCCCACAGATATGAAGTTTGGCCCAGGACCATAAAAGCACCAAGACGTCTTCACTGCATTTGAGGGTTTTAACTTATGGTTCTTTTACAGGAGAAAGTTGCGACAAGAGATACATTGGATTCAAATTTGGCGCCACCTGCATGTGAAAGTTAGATCCTGTTAGACCTCTGAAGCTAAGTAGGTTAGGACCTGGTTAAACATGTGATGGGAGACCTCTGGGAACACCAGGTGCCACAGTGAGGAGGCTGCGAAGTGATAAGTTGTCTTTATGTGCTTAGGCAAGACACTTCCCCCACATCGCCCATGAGTCTGGTGTGTGAAGGGTTGGCAGGGCAGCTGTGGCTAGTAGTCATCAAATAAAGACATGCAAAGTTTCCAAAAAAACACTAGAAAAAGAGAGGAATCTGAAAGAAAAACCTAAAGCATCAAACATTTGGCTGACAATTCTAAGAGACATTTGTGAATTTCTTGACAATTTCATCCAGTGTATACAAAGAATCTTCTCACTTACTAAATTGAGTGTATATTATAATATGTTTGTTATTTTCTACTATTTACACAGTTTACACAGTTTACATACTGAACAACATGTGTTTTAACTTCAAAACACACATTGGTCTCTAAATATACACTTACATCAGTGTTGGGCAATAGTATACTTTTGATAAGATTGAATTGGTCCGACTACTTTTAGATCCAGTTTTCATGACTTTTACAAACCTCCCATGGACTACAGGTGAAGGAGAGCTTTGTTATAAGTTCATACAAAGTTGCTTTTTTTGTTGTGACAATGCCAACAATCTTTTCTTTAGTTAAAGCTGGGGTACCAAACTTGTAAAAACTAGTTTGTTGCTCGAGCTTTCACCTCTGTCTTGTTTTCTACGATGAACTCTGTGGTTGTTCTGGTTTGTTTTGCTCACAACATTTTACACTTGGAACAAACAACATTTATGGCTAACTTTTGATAAATACATTTCTGAACAAAACTAACCCCCAGTTACAGAAACGGTGCCTGGTTTTCCTTTGCTGAGTACTTTCCCATGAAGGCAGTGGACGGACTGAGGCTCAGGACCTGACTGTGCTTCATGTGTTTTTGGTTCTCTTCCTTCTCTTCTTGGGTGTGCTGATGTTATCAAACCTCACAAACAAATGTTTATTCAAAGTCAATTTGCTCAAGTCTAAGAATCCAGAATGACCTTCTATGCACATATTTTTCCAGTGATTCCCCGATAACTCGACTGCAGTATCTCATGGAAAGGTTACATTTGTGTTCAACTGAAGTCGTCAAATCAAACTTTTTCAGTTGACGTTGAACCACCTGTGGCTGGGTTATGTATGTTTTACAGCTGCTCATTTCACTTTAAGAAGTTGACCCAAAGACACGTACTGTTAATGAAGGACTTTAACGATACTTCTGCCTCTGTCAGAACTTTGTTTCATTGCTTTGTTGCTAGTCTCTTATCAGCATGTTGGCGGTATTAAAATATGCTATCCAATTTGTTTTTTACTGGTGAAACAGTATATGAATAATGTACAGTATTCGGCCCCCTTGAACCTTTCAACGTTTTGCCACATTTCAGACTTCAAACATAAAGATATAAAAAAAAATGTTTTTGTCATGAATCAACAACAAGTGGGACACAATCGTGAAGTGGAACGAAATTTATTGGATAATTTAAACTTTTTTAACAAATAAAAAACTGAAAAGTGGGGCCCCTTTACTTTCAGTGCAGCAAACTCAGTCCAGAAGTTCAGTGAGGATCTTTGAATGATCCAATGTTGTCCTAAATGACTGATGATGATAAATAGAATGCACCTGTGTGTGATCAAGTCTCCGTATGATCAGAGCACCTGCTCTTTGATAGTCTCAGGGTTCTGTTTAAAGCGCAGAGAGAACCATGAAGACAAAGGAACACACCAGGCAGGTCCGAGATACTGTTGTGGAGAAGTTTAAAGCCGGATTTGGATACAAAAAGATTTCCCAAGCTTTAAACATCTCAAGGAGCACTGTGCAAGCAATTATATTGAAATGGAAGGAGTATCAGACCACTGCAAATCTACCAAGACCCGGCCGTCCCTCAAAACTTTCATCTCAAACAAGGAGAATACTGATCAGAGATGCAGCCAAGAGGCCCATGATCACTCTGGATGAACTGCAGATAACTACAGCTGAGGTGGGAGAGTCTGTCCATAGGACAACAATCAGTCGTGCACTGCACAAATCTGGCCTTTATGGAAGAGTGGCAAGAAGAAAGCCATTTCTCAAAGATATCCATAAAAAGTCTCGTTTAAAGTTTGCCACAGGCCACCTGGGAGACACACCAAACATGTGGAAGAAGGTGCTCTGGTCAGATGAAACCAAAATCAAACTTTTTGGCCACAATGCAAAACGATATGTTTGGTGTAAAAGCAACACAGCTCATCACCCTGAACACACCATCCCCACTGTCAAACATGGTGGTGGCAGCATCATGCTTTGGGCCTGCTTTTCTTCAGCAGGGACAGGGAAGATTGCTAAAATTGATGGGAAGATGGATGGAGCCAAATACAGGACCATTCTGGAAGAAAACCTGTTGGAGTCTGCAAAAGACCTGAGACTGGGACGGAGATTTATCTTCCAACAGGACAATGATCCAAAACATAAAGCCAAATCTACAATGGAATGGTTCACAAATAGACGTATCCAGGTGTTAGAATGGCCAAGTGAAAGTCAAAACCTGAATCCAAACGAGAATCTGTGGAAAGAGCTGAAGACTGCTGTTCACAAACGCTCTCCATCCAACCTCACTGAGCTCGAGCTGTTTTGCAAGGAAGAATGGGCAAGAATTCCAGTCTCTCGATGTGCAAAACTGATAGACATACCCCAAGCGACTTGCAGCTGTAATTGCAGCAAAAGGTGGCGCTACAAAGTATTAGCGCAAGGGGGCCGAATAATATTGCACGCCCTACTTTTCAGTTTTTTATTTGTTAAAAAAGTTTTAATTATCCAATACATTTCTTTCCACTTCACGATTGTGTCCCACTTGTTGTTGATTCTTGACAAAAAATTTAATTTTTATATCTTTGTTTGAAGCCTGAAATGTGGCGAAATGTTGAAAGGTTAATACTTGTGCCTTGCAAAAGAATACTTTTGCAAGGCACTGTATACTTACTGTAAGAGTGGGAAAGGTTTCAAGCCATGATATGGAGACAAGCGGGTGATGGATCTACCACCTCAGACGTGACAGGATTCATCTCACATTCCTCAACACAATATGATTTCATCCTTTCTTGAGAAACCCCTAAACCCCTGTCTGTTTCAAAGGAACTGCTCAGAAATGTACTGTTTTAGGTACTTTAATGTGACCTCGTCAGTATTGTCTGGTGTGTTAGTAGCAGTGTTTGAGAGTTCTGCTGCTTCTATCCTCACAGAGGTTGTTTGTGGCCCGTGCAGGTAAACCCTCAGGGGAGCTCAGTGTCCGGCTGCCGGGGCAGGTGCTCCACGCGGTGCTGCAGCAGTGGGAGCTCACAGAGACCCCCCACAGCTCCCAGCCTCCACACTACTGTCACGGCCGCTTCGATGCCATCACTATGGGTGCGTTTACATACTCACAATATACTATCAGAATTCCTCCACTCTCCAAAACTCATATTTTGCTTTAGACCAGAACAACACAGTGCTGGTGTTTCGGGGAAGTTTCTTCTGGACGGTCTCGCCCACAGGAGCTGTTTCTAAAGCCGGGCCTCTCCAACAGCGATGGCCAGAGCTGCCCACAGCCATCGAAGCAGCTGCTTTCTCCCCCCTGGACTCAAAGCTGTACTTCTTCAAAGGTATAGCTCCTACTGTTACTCACAGGCTTTTTCATCATGAAGCCTTTAGCCATGTCAGAATTAACATAAAAACACGGGTCAGAACAGGTCATACAAAATTACCTCCTTTCTATGTTTTAATTTATATTTGTATAATTTTTTTAATGAGTTACTTCACTTTCACCGTCCCTATGGAAGATATATTTCAAAGTTCAAAAGGTGAAGGAGGAAGTATTTTTGCTGATAATGGATGCAGCCTATGGGCTTGGAGCTGTAGTGCACCTGCTGATGAACGGTACAGATACCACTGACCAACAGAGGGAGACAGATGGAGACCTCGGACTACTCACAGTATTTGTTCTTTACAGAGTAAAGAACAAATAAAGTGTCCTGAAGACACTTTACTGACTTTTGACTGCATGATAGTTTTGTGAATGCTTCATTTGAGGAATATGTGTGTGTGTGTGTTCAGGGCGGAGGATGTGGAGGTACTCCGGCTCACATCTGGACTCCGGGTTTCCCAGAATAACTGTGGAGTCGAACTTCCCTCGTCACCCTGACTGTGCCTTCTTCTACGCCCCTCTGGGACACATGATCCTGTTTAAAGGCTTACGATACTTTGTTCTGAACCTGAGGACGCTCCATGCAGAGCCCTACTACCCCCGCAGGCTCACAGACTGGACAGGGGTGCCTCAGGGGACCAATGGGGCACTGACCCGCCCAGATGGACGACTATACCTGTTCAGAGAGCAGCGCTTCTGGAGGTTTGACCCACTCAAGGTGCGGGTGACCAAAGAGGGACTATGGGCCAAAGATCTAAGCTGGGCTGGCTGCAACAACAGTCCTCAGAGCAATACTATTCTTTGACCAGTAGAGGAAGCAAGGTGTGTGGACTCTTTCTTCACTCAGGGCCATAACAACATATTGTAAACACAGTATATGAACAGACAGAAGATACTCAAATGTTTGTATTCTTGTACTTGTGCTGCCTTGTGACCATTAATAATGGCCAGTATGTTTTGTATGGAATAATCTAGGACGACATATGGCCCTCAGGCCATGGTTTGGACAGCCTCAACCGACTGTGTAACTAAACGGAAAAAGACATTATAATGTTCCAGTTTACATATTCATGGATTTTCACTTAATTGGAATTTGGACTGCATTAGTAACACTAAATTATTGAAAAAGGTATTGTGAATAATATACCTTCAGTATATAAGCGGAGATGTCATCTCCACTGTGCTTCGAACAGCCCTCACTCACCTTGAAACTAAAGACTCCAATGTTAGAATGCTCTTTGGAGACTTCAGCTCAGCATTCAACACTAGAATCCCCTTTCTGATGGGAGACCACAGGCTGTACGGAAAGTCCCCCAGAACCATCACACTGAGCACAGGGACTCCCCAAGGCTGTGTGCTGAGCCCACTCCTGTTCACTCTGTAAGCAGTAAGTAATCTTTATTAATATAACCGTTTTATCCACCAGGTGATCAGGGAGCTGAACTTCCTCCCTGGGATCCCTCACTCCTCCCCCACCTTCCCCAATAGTCAAGGACAAAAGAATTTACAATAAAATCTTAGATTTTTAATCTTGAAAATGTTTACGTTAGTCTTGGTCTTCAAGTCAGTGTTTGCCAGATTTTCTGATCAGTCATGCCAGAATACAGCGCCATATCATCCACGTTTGAACAAACAACTGCACTTTCAGCACCTGTAATTGAGCATACACAGATTATAATCCCACTCCGGGCGTACTGAGGCCGGGCGCGCTGAGGCCGGGCACTTCTTTATTTATTACAACTTTACCACTCTCACAGGACCACAGTGAATAAAGGCTGGAAAAGGAGACACCAGTGTGGTTATTGTTCTGGTTATCTGCCTGCCGAGATAAGCCAAAGTATAGAGCACTATAAATCACAATAAAGGGCCTTAAAGTGACAACACAAAACTCTGCATAAAATCATTTTATCTTTATTCCACGTTTTCCAGTAACAAACATCCAGCCACATACAAAACATGAAAACCATAGAAAATGTACAAACAATCACATTTACATTTCCTATGACAGAAAGAATACGTCCCAAGAACTGTGTTCTGAGACCGTGTGTTCTCTGGCTACACAAAAATACTACACCTGTAGAAAAACAAACTAGTGTCTTATCATAAATGATTGTCGGAACAATCAGCAATAAATAACAGACTTGATTGGAATGCAGTAAATTTCACAAAGACAAACTTTTTGACAAACAAACATGAACAATATAATCCAGGCAACACAGCGTTATTTAATGTAATCATTGGAATAGTATTTTTACACCATAAATAATTTCTCTGAGGTGATAAAACCATTATAAAAGTCCTAACACATCTGAGTTGGGAAAAACAGTTTTATTATTACCATAAATCCAAGATGTTTGCCAATAGACTGTATGTGCCAATAGGTAAGACCAGTGTTTCCCAACCAGGGTACGCGGACCTCTAGGAGAACGAAGGGTATTACAGGGTATTATGAATATTAATTGGTCGGCGAGAACTCTCAAGTTAAGTTAAAGAAAAGCAAAACAATGTGGTCAATAAAGCTCTCATAATCAAACAATAATAATAGTAATAATAAAAAAAAATGTTCATAAAAGGGTTTTTCTCTTTAAGTTGAGACAAAGAACATGAATTATTTATGACCCCAACAATGATGCACCGCAGCTTAAAGTGATAGTCTGTAACTCTAAATGAATTACAAATTTTAGGAAATGTGTTAAATTGACCTCCTGGCCTTAAATGTTGATATAAAATAAGTCATTTTATTAATTCTAATATTACGGCCAAGTCCCGCCTTCCCTGCTCTTAGCTATAGTTCAGAATCCACGGTGCCGTCGAGGTTAACCAATCGAGTCATGCCAAGGGCTGTCAATCATCGGCGCTGATGCTCGCAGCTGCGCGCATGCTCAGTTGTTTGTTTTCGCGGAGCCTCTATTAGGCTCTGGAACTACATGAAAACTGAACAAAGAATTCTGAACATCTTATGTATATTCTGAACCTATATCCATAATCAGATCCTCTGCAGATGTGTCCTATAATGTGCAATTCATGATAATAGCACTTCCTGGTTTGCCGCGATCGCTTTTTTTGTGCATAAAAACATATTTTTTTTTCATTAAAACGTTCACAAATAATTCTGAAAACCTCCGTGCATGTGTATTAATAATGTATATGTATAATGTGTTCTCTGATTAACATTTCAAAGTGTTACGGAAACGTAGGTGTAGACCAATCAGAAAGGAAGGGGGAGGGAGCTTGCGTCGTTTTTTTCAAATCAAGTACCTCTCTGTCTCTCTTTCTGACAAACTCCAGACAATCACTTTAATTGTGGTTGCTTATCGTTTGCCGGGCAGAAAAAACACAGTAACTTGGAGGTTCAGTTGTCAAAGTGTTGTTGGTAAAGATTCAAATTCAATCAGATGTATTTGTGTGTATTTGTCTGTTGCTTTAAATCACAACAGATCAGAGAATCCCATTTTCCCAACCAGGATGTTGTTCTGGACACTTCATAGAAATGACTCATGATGGAAAGAATACTATTCCAACTTGGGACTTTCTGGGCTCAAAATCCGGAAGTTTGCCTGGACTAATAATTTAACTTTGACAAAACAACGTAGATCTGCCGTTGGTGTTTCCGTTACACAAATCCAACACCGGCCTCTGTGCAAACGTGTGGAAGATGAAAAAATATGGCGTCCTCATAAAATAGATCCTCTGAAGATGTGAGAAGGCGAAGTTTTCCCAAAGGCACAGTGAGTTTGAGTTGGCACCATGGCGTGTCTCTGTCCATCCCTCCCCCATGTGTGTCCAGTGTAGGGGGGGGTCCTACATCTCCGCCCTGCCCCTGGGCTTCTGATGCCCGTCGGTGTCGTCCTCCACCTCCTCTTCCTCCTCCTCATACTCCTCGTTATTGGGGTGGCCGTGTTCTTTTCCCGTTTCATCTTGGTTTTTCTCCTCATCCTGCAAAAAAAAAAAAATATATATATATATATATTTTATAAGACAAGGGGGGGTCCTCTCTCTGCCCCAGTTTGCAAACTTGTGAGAAAGAGCCTTGTGAATCACTGTTTGACTCTTTGGGGCTGAGATCCTCTTGTTCACTTCTCAGTCTGAAAAAGCTCATCCAAAGATATTATAGAGGCCTGAAAACATGTGAAAACCTGGGTATAGAACCAAACAAGGAACTCGAGATATGGATTATATAACTTAGTTCATATTTGTGTGTTTGAAAGTAAAGTACCCGAGCTTTAAATGTGCTCTTTACAGCAGTAGTTCTAAAGTCCACATGTTGCACAGTCGTGGATGTGAGAGGCTACGACATACATTTGTTTGTTTTCTTACGGATGGAAGTGCTGGAGTTTACCCTGAGCTCATGCCCCTGACCTTTACAGTTGCAGAGGGGATGTAAAGTTTCATTATCCAACCTAGTAATTAAAATACATTTAAATTAAATCAACAAGCGATGAGTGGGCTTATCTAAATATAATAACCCATCCATCCATCCATTTTCTTCCGCTTTATCCGTTGCCGGGTCGCGGGGGCAGCAGTCTAAGCAAAGACGCCCAGACTTCCCTATCCACACACACTTCCTCCAGCTCGTCCGGGGGGACCCCAAGGCGTTCCCAGGCCAGCTGAGAGACATAGTCCCTCCAGCGTGTCCTGGGTCTTCCGCGGGGCCTCCTCCCGGTGGGGCGTGCCCGGAACACCTCCCCAGGGAGGCGTCCAGGAAGCATCCGGAACAGATGCCCGACCCACCTCAACTGGTTCCTCTCGACGTGGAGAAGCAGCGGTTCTACTCCGAGCTCCTCCCGTGTGACTGAGCTCCTCACCCTATCTCTAAGGGAGCGCCCAGCCACTCTGCGGAGGAAGCTCATTTCGACCGCTTGTATCCGCGATCTCGTTCTTTCGGTCATTACCCAAAGCTCATGACCATAGGTGAGGGAGGGAACGAAGATTGACCGGTAAATCGAGAGCTTTGCCTTTCGGCTCAGCTCCCTCTTCACCACAACGGTCCGATACAGCGACCGCATAACTGCGCACGCTGCACCGATCCGCCTGTCAATCTCACGCTCCATTCTTCCCTCACTCGTGAACAAGACCCCGAGATACTTGAACTCCTCCACTTGAGGAAGGACCTCTCCACCCACCTGCAGAGGGCAAGGCACCTTTTTCCGGTCGAGCACCATGGCCTCGGATTTGGAGGTGCTGATTCTCATCCCAGCCGCTTCACACTCGGCTGCAAACCGTCCCAGTGCATGCTGCAGGTCCTGGTTCGTTGGAGCCAACAGGACAACATCGTCCGCAAACAGCAGAGATGAAATCCTGTGGTCCCCGAACCGGACCCCCTCCGACCCCTGGCTGCGCCTAGATATTCTGTCCATAAATACAGTGAACAGAACCGGTGACAAAGGGCAGCCCTGTCGGAGGCCAACATTCACCGGGAACAGGTCTGACTTACTGCCGGCAATGCGAACACAGCTCTGGTTCCGGTCATACAGGGATCGGATGGCCCACAGCAGAGGACCTCCGACCCCGTACTCCCGGAGAACCCCCCAAAGGACACCCCGGGGAACACAGTCGAACGCCTTCTCCAAATCCACAAAGCACATGTGGACAGGTTGGGCGAACTCCCATGAACCCTCGAGTATCCGATGGAGAGTATAGAGCTGGTCCAGTGTTCCGCGACCGGGACGAAAACCACACGCTCCTCCTGGATCCGAGATTCGACCATCGGCCGTAACCTCCTCTCCAGTACCTTGGAGTAGACCTTACCGGGGAGGCTGAGGAGTGTGATCCCACGATAATTGGAACACACCCTCCGGTCCCCCTTCTTGTAGAGAGGGACCACTACCCCGGTCTGCCACTCCATTGGCACTGCCCCCGATCGCCACGCGATGTTGCAGAGACGTGTCAGCCAAGACAGTCCTACAACATCCAGAGACTTTAGATAATCAGGGCGGATCTCATCCACACCCGGAGCCTTGCCACCATGGAGGCTACCAACCACCTTGGTGACCTCAGCCAGGGAGATGGATGTACCCGCCCCAACATCCTCAGCCTCTGCCTCTGTAACAGAGGACGTGACGGGGGGATTGAGGAGAACCTCAAAGTATTCCTTCCACCGCCCGACAATATCCCCAGTCGAGGTCAGCAGCTCTCCACCCGCACCGTACATGGTGTTGGCAAAGAACTGCTTCCCCCTCCTGAGGCGCCGGATGGTTTGCCAGAATCTCTTCGAGGCCGACCGATAGTCATGCTCCATGGACTCTCCGAACTCCTCCCAGTCCCGGGTTTTTGCCTCTGCAACAGCCCGGGCCGCGGCACGCTTGGCCTGCCGGTACTGGACAGCTGCCTCAGGAGTCCCCCGAACCATCATGGCTCGATAGGACTCCTTCTTCAGCCTGACAGCATCCCTTACTGCCGGTGTCCACCACCGGGTTCGGGGGTTGCCGCCGGGACCAGCACCAGAGACCTTGCGACCACAGCTACGAGCCGCCGCATCGGCGATTGAGGCAGAGAACATGGTCCACTCGGACTCCATGTCCCCCTCCTCCGCCGGGACCTGGGAGAAGCTCTCCCGGAGGTGTGAGTTGAAAGTCCGTCTGACAGGGGGCTCAGCGAGACGTTCCCAGCAGACCCTCACTATACGCTTGGGTCTGCCAGGTCTGACCGGCTTCTTCCCCTGCCAGCGGATCCAACTCACAACCAGGTGATGATCGGTTGACAGCTCCGCCCCTCTCTTTACCCGAGTGTCCGAGACACGCGGTCGAAGGTCAGATGATACGAGCGACAACAAAGTCGATCATCAACCTCCGGCCTAGGGTGTCCTGGTGCCACGTGCACTGGTGGACACCCTTGTGCTCGAACATGGTGTTCGTGATGGACAAACCGCGACTGGCACAGAAGTCCAACAACTGAGCACCGCTCGGGTTCAGATCAGGGGGGCCGCTCTTCCCGATCACCCCTCTCCAAGTGTCACTGGCGTTTCCCACATGGGCGTTGAAGTCCCCCAGGAGAATAACGGAGTCCCCGGGCGGTGCACCGTCCAGTACCCCTCCCAAGGACTCCAAGAAGGCCGGGTACTCTACACTGCTGTTAGGCCCGTAGGCCGTCACAACAATGAGAGACTTGTCCCCCACCCGGAGGCGGAGGGACGCGACCCTCTCATTCACCGGGGAGAACTCCAACACGTGGCGGCTGAGATGGGGGGCAATGAGAATGGCCACCCCAGCTCGCCGCCTCTCCCCGCGGGAAACTCCAGAAAAGTGGAGCGTCCAACCCCTCTCAAGGAGTTGGGTTCCAGAGCCCAAGCTGTGTGTGGAGGTGAGGCCGACTATCTCTAGTCGGTATCGCTCAACCTCCCCCACGAGCTCGGGCTCCTTCCCCCCCAGTGAGGTGACGTTCCACGTCCCAAGAGCCAGATGTTGTGTGTGCGGACTGGGTCGCCGAGGTCTCCGCCTTCGACTGCCGCCCAGTCCTCTCTGCACCGCTTCACCACGGACCCCTCTGCAGGTGGTGGGCCCACAGGAGGGACTGCCCACGTCATCCCTTCGGGCTGAGCCCGGCCGGGCCCCGTGGGCTAAGGCCCGGCCACCAGGCGCTCGTATACGGGCCCCGACCCCAGGCCTGGCTCCAGGGTGGGGCCCCGGCTGCGCCATGCCGGGCGACGTCACTGTTTTCGTGTTAGTGCTGTCCATGGTGTCTTCTGGACTGCTCTTTGTCTGACTCGTCACCTGAGACCTGTCTGCCATGGGAGGCCCTACCAGGGGCATGAAGCCCCAGACAGCATAGCTCCCAGGATCATCCGAGTACTCAAACTCCCCCACCACGTTAAGGTGGCAGTCCAGGGGGGGCATAAAATATAATAACCTTTGTACTTAAAGAGACAGTAAGTAATGTTTTCATTTTAGCAAACCAGTAAAAGGTCACACGAAAACATATATTTGGCCATTCTGAACAAAAGTTAAAACTGGAGCTATGCATAATTAAAAATACAATAATCATGATGTTTACAATCATAATTTATATGATTCTCTCATTTGGTGCCAGTTTGTCATTTTCATTATATATATTCACAAAGAAACAAAACAGCACCACACATTTGTTTGAATGAAACCATGTACAATACTGTATTATGTGTGGGCTGGGTATGTTTCTCTGGTAACACTGCAAAAAATCTATAAATATAAAAGGCAGTGAATACTTTTAGTTTTTTATCCTAATACAAGCAGTTGGGAAAACAAGATGTGGCAATGGGCAACTAAAAACAAGACATGTCGTATAATAAATGTATTGTGAGATTATAGTTGTGTCCCACCTGTTCATTATAGGTGTCTTCTCCCTCCTCCTCTCCTTCATCTTGTTTCTTTGCCCCACCGTCGGCCAACTCCTCCTGCGCCTGAGGGACAAAACACTATTGATGTGCTGTTCTGGAAATATCAACCTCTGATAGCATTGTTCCGATTATCCTTCTCCTTCTCCGAGCGACATGAGTATAATAATGGTGGAAATGCTCTGTCTGATGCGATTGAGGTAAAAAGTATTGTCTTCTTCTGTACCAGACAATATAAGGTTTTGTGATGTTAGGGTTAGTAAGTAGTAGTAGTCTTTATTTTATATACCGCCTTTTCACTGCAGATCTGAGTCTCAAAGCGGTTTACAATTGTCAATTTTGGGCATTTATCTCTCACTCCACACAGAGATGGGAGCAGGGTCGCCAGTACAGGAGGCGCATGCCAGACCTATTGGACATATTTTTAGCGGTAGGGGAAACCGGAGTACCCGGAGGAAACCTACGCAGACACGGGGAGAACATGCAAACTCCACTCAGAAAGGCCCTGGTCCGACCGGGATTCGAACCCAGGACCTTCTTGCTGAGACGAGAGTGCTATCCACTCAGCCACCGTGTTAGGGTCACAGAAGAACCCAATACTTTTATTTCTACTAAGAAGACAAGAGAAATCTCCCTAAACTATGTGATTGAGGATTTAAACATAAAAATACTAGATTTTTTTAAATATTGTGAGAAAGCGTGCCTAAACCCTAAAAGTAGTCAAGTTATCATGTGTTTTCAAATAGTAATGGAAATGACCAGATGCCTATAGTCTGCAAAAGTTATTAAAAACATTTTGGAGTGGGCCGATAAAAATAAACCAATGGGATTCGTTCATCCCCAACGAACCAATGGGATGTGTTTACCTCCTTCACCCACTTCCTGTTTATCGTGAGTGAGTGCACCTGAGTTATTGGATTTTCTAAAACCTAAAAGGGTTGGTGCTACGGCTAAGCTAACAAAATCGCTCTCTGCACCTTTAAAGACCTTATGCCGGGTTATTTTTTTTTAAAATTGTGGATATCAAAATTGCATGACAATGTCAATCTGAAAGAGATTCCGGCAAAAAAAATCCTATATTTCATAAAAAGAACGTGTTTTTCATGAATTTAAGCTGTCTATGCTCTAACCTGTGTGTGACGTCATAGCGGGTTACGCCCATGCATTGAAAACCATGGATCTATGCCACAGGACTGCCTTTTTTCTCTTCTCTCCATTGATGCCCAACACAATACTGCCCTCTACAGGTGACAATTGCTCACTACACATAAATTGCCGTTTTGAGAGTAAAAATGTGTCTGAGCTGGAATTTGAACCCCAGTATCAGGATTGACAGTCCATCGACACAACCACTGGACTATCTCCGTACAAACAAAATGTTACAATCTAGTAGTAATATCATACTCGCTGTACACGGCCTATCTCAGTACTGACAAAGTGATACAATCTAGTATTTATGTCATACTCGCTGTACACGGCCTTGTCATCTTGAATATCCGCGAAAAAAGTACGAATACCAAATTGTTAACAACTTACAGCGTTGAAACGTACCCACTCTGATGTCACCAAGGGCTGTGAAGTTTTTTCGTCTCCAAGGGCGTTGCTATGGGGTTATTTCGATTTGGGGGGATCAGACAAAAAAATAAACTGATTTTGAAACCTTTAGTAGTTCTCTTCTAATATAAAATGGTATTAAAACTGTATTTCTAAATAAATCAAACCCGGCATAAGGTCTTTAAGAGGGGCATGCATAATGTGAACATGTCTTTGAATGCATTGAAAAGCGTTTGAATATGTCCTAAAGACCACTGAAGGCTCATATCTTGCCCCACAGAGCCCACCTGTGTGTGGTCCACTCTCAGCATCAGTACAGCGGTTCTGTGAAGGCCTCAGAGCTTTTGCTGCACATGACATTTTGGAAAGACAGGCAAAAAAACCTACGCTCTGATATGAGAAATACAGGAGTGAATCTGGTGTTTCTTATAATAAATTTACTTATACAAACAGGCGTGGATATTTTTGCATCGATATCGTACTGCTAAATTCATGTATTATATTTCTAAATAGATCTTTTAGGTCTATATTTCTTCATCCAATTTCAATCTGACCCGTGTCACAGTGACCAGATTAGAAACTTACAGACCACGGGTTTGTCTAATTCAAACTTCCTGGTTCATCTGATTGGACAAAAAGGTTATAATAAAATGCCTGTTCCTCTTTCAGTCTTGGTTCAGTCCTGGTTCAGTCCTGGTTCAGTATTGGTTCAGTCCTGGTTCAGTCTTGGTTCAGTCTTGGTTCAGTCTTGGTTCAGTCTTGGTTCAGTCTTGGTTCAGTCTTGGTTCAGTCTTGGTTCAGTCTTGGTTCAGTCTTGGTTCAGTCTTGGTTCAGTCTTGGTTCAGTCCTGGTTCAGTATTGGTTCAGTCCTGGTTCAGTCTTGGTTCAGTCTTGGTTCAGTCTTGGTTCAGTCCTGGTTCAGTCCTGGTTCAGTCTTGGTTCAGTCTTGGTTCAGTCTTGGTTCAGTCTTGGTTCAGTCTTGGTTCAGTCCTGGTTCAGTCCTGGTTCAGTCTTGGTTCAGTCTTGGTTCAGTCTTGGTTCAGTCTTGGTTCAGTCCTGGTTCAGTCCTGGTTCAGTCTTGGTTCAGTCTTGGTTCAGTCCTGGTTCAGTCCTGGTTCAGTCTTGGTTCAGTCTTGGTTCAGTCCTGGTTCAGTCCTGGTTCAGTCCTGGTTCAGTCCTGGTTCAGTCCTGGTTCAGTCCTGGTTCAGTCCTGGTTTAGACCTCACAGCTGTCTGTACTAACCAAGTTATGTCAAACAGGACATACCAGAAAAACCTAAATGACTTAAATGACCTGTATCATTATTTTGGCTTCGATTATCGCCAGTAACAAGATGTGGTTCTTTATGTTTGTAAATGTAAAAATAGTACAATGTGCAGGAGTTCACTGTAGCTCCAAACAAACGCGCTGAAGTCTTCCCACTGACCTCATCCTCTCCTTCCTCTTGGTACTGGTCGTCCAGTGCGTCTTCTTGGTTATCTGGGTTCCCTGCCATCTGAAACACACACCAGGTTTGTCAGCTGCACAAAGCACCTCCAGAGAGTACCCTGCTCACTCACCACCAGCTCCTCGTCCCCGTGGGGCTCTGGGTGGGGGCCTGGGTGGGTGTCCCTGTGGGGTCTCATTGCCGGCTCCTCCTCCTCCTCCTCTTCCTCGTTCTCTGCGTCTGTGTGCGGCACTCGCTCTTCTTCGGCCTCCTCAAACTCGTCCTCTCCCTGGTTGTTGGGGTCATCCTCAGGGTCCGGTTCCACCTCTACTGCCCCCTGGAGGATGTAAGAACAATGTGGATATTACTCTATTCAATCCAAAGTTAAACAACAATAAAAGAAGTTGATGAGTAAGTAAAAGGCCGACCTGCTGATGTGAAGGCACTCTGTGGTCATCGGTGTCTTGCTCCTCCTCATCATCGCGGAGCATGTGCATATCTTGTTCTAAAAACATCATTTTGGGGATTTTTTACCGTCTCAGAGTAAGGCTTATTGGATTCAAGGTCAAATCCAGAGGTGCACAAAGTGGCATTGATGATTACAATGATCATTGAAGGTATTATATGAGCTACTTTGGCTTGGTCCACATCATTCTCAAGATCATTTCCCTCAAGAGAACAGCCATATGTTCTTTGGCTTTGTGGGTGAAATTACAAAAGGGAAAGCGTTTGATACCACTGACCATTTTAATAAACAAAGTGGAAAACCATGGCATAAGGCGATTGGCAAAACATTTGTTAAAGGGCTTTTTGAAGGAAAGACTTTGAAATGTAACCCACATGAAATAGCGGCTCACTGTCCCTAGGCTTTTATTGTGGCGGGCCGCTTTCCTTTAAGATCCCTGCCCCACCTGTCACTCCCCCCTCTCCAGTCCCACTCATGCCATCACGCTGCTCCTGCTGTGGCGTGGACAGGTCTATTTGTGCCTAAAACAGTCATTTGAAAGTTGCAAACGACTACCCGCAGTTGCAAACCGCATTCCCGTACCGGAGCGCGTCTCTCGTGTCATTCATCGGGTGAGTCAATCTGCGCTGTTTATCAATACACACTCGTACTGTTTACTAATCCATACTCCCATCATCACATCCCAGATCCACACGCAAACTGTTGGGGACCGCTTAATATATACCTCCCCTCCTTCTTGCTCTACTCACCGGTGAGTTGAACCACACTGTTATTTTAGGCACTTCACGCAGCTATGGTGCGTGTGTATTCATGTAGCGCCGCCGCTAACTTAATGCTAACGGAGCATTTATTTATTTGACATCTGCTAAATTCACCTTTTCACTCAACCCGAACTATGCGGTAGACTGCGTTACCTCTGCAGGGAGCGACACTTTAGTTGTATTGGCTCTTTATGCCTATTTCTGTTCACTCTTTTTGAGACGAGCGCCCAGGCGGCTCTGTATTTTTGAATTGGATTTCTTTTGGAAGAACTTTTTTCCTTTTGAATAATGTTCTAAACGTGAACTTTGATAATAATTGTACAGTTTTTTGATTAATACTTAGCGGATATGCTAGTGATTTTTTGACTTTTTAAGTGCACTTTATTTGATATTTGATACTGAAGCTTCACTTTGATTTATTGATATGTTTATGATTATTATGACCTTAGGAATATATTTATCTGCTTGCATTTAGAAGCATGTATTTTATTTCTGTAAATCAAGCTAATTTTTTTAGTTATCTATTTTTTTTTCCTCTTTGACTAATTGAATATTTTGTCTGGCCTTGTTTAGGTCAGGTTTTTTTATCCCCCCTACCCGTTTGGATTACTATTCTTTTTTTTGACCATTGGATGGCGAGCTACCCAACCACTGCCCTCCTACCTTCATCGCGGTAGGACAATTGAACTCTATTTGAACTCTTTTATTTTTTTATTTTCTCCAAGCCCTGGACTCTGAACTTTTTTTCAAACTGAACTCTGAGAACCTTGAGTCATTCCCTTTTCGGGAATTGTTTTTTGTTTGTCTTGCATTTTTTGTTCATGTCTTATTGTCTAATATAATGTAATATACATCCTATAATTCATACCTGGTTAACATATAAGAATTATAATACAAGTTGATTTATAGAGCTCTAAAACGTGATCTTGGTGTTTTTTTGTCACACACTTTGCTCCGTGCCCGGATCTAGTTCTGAGTTACACATTGCAGTCAGCGCCCTAGCCTGCTAGCGTTACAGAAAGGAAAGATTTTACAGGTTGATCAACATCAATCAGGATGTAGAGACATCTGCGGAGGTCCGCAAGGGTCAATACTGGGACCCGTGTTATTACAGGAATTACCCGACTTCAAGGAGGACTTAAAGTTATTTGAACTCTGGAATATATTTATTTTAATTTTGTTAGAGCGCCCCCTGGGGTGCATGGAGGGATTCGAACACAGCTTTATTAACTGTTGGTCTCTAGAGCTCAAGACGTTGCTCATATGTGTGTTTATGTTTTATGTGAACAGTAGAGAGACACAAGGAACAACAAGGAAATACCCAGGACTTAAAATATGTGATTAAGACTATAGTCAGTGTTTTATGGACTTATTATTTTGAGTTTTAGTTTGGGTGGTACGCATGTTTATTGTCAAAAAAGACAAGGATTAAGATTCCTCGTCACTCAATCATGTTGTGTCCAGTTAAAAGTACAATGTTATCATCTGTAATTACCTCCTGATGCTGCTAACTACAGTGTGTCCTTCACTGATGCCTTGAACCAAGTGCCATTATTGCTCCAGAGTTTTATTTATCACCTATCATTTTCAGTGATGGGAATAACGGCGTTACTAGTAACGGCGTTACTAACAACGTTACTTTTTTCAGTAACGAGTAATCTAACTAATTACTTTGACAGTAACTATAACGCCGTTATCATTTCCGACATCCCGTTACTGCGCGTTACTCAAGACGCACAATGAACGTGTTGTCATGAGAGAAGGGAGGATGAGAAAACCTCTCAGCAATTATTGGCTGATGTAAATCATATTTCCTTTACAATCTACATGTCTACAGTTGAGAGGATGGCTCATAAATTGTGTTTTTGAAACAAATATGGGTCTTAATCGCGCTCAACCACGGCTTGTATCACCGTGAGGCCAGCCTCAGAGGAGCTCATGTGAGCGCAGAAGTCGGCTGCATACAATTCCATCGATAAGCTCCTTTCTCCTCCTGGTTTATCTGCGAAGGGCAGCAACAGGTTTGGCTAACATACATATAACACATTTTTACATAATCTAAAATGCACATAGGGTAATTTTTCAATTACTATAGGAATGATAAGAAAGAGAGGTGAAGTGTAAGACGGTTGATTTTAGAAATTGGATGCACTCGGCTGCCGCTAGCAAAACACAGGAGTTTATGGAGGACACACGCGTTTTGTTTTACTTTTTAAAACTCATTGGACTCATTTCCAAATGGAGGATTACATATCTATGCTCAAAACATTAACTGGATTTAAACAAGGAACTGGTCTGAACCGAAGTGGACTGTGCAGGTCATTTATAAGGTATAGCTATAAGGTAAGACCCATAACTCACAGTTTTGCGTTTTGTATGAACAAACAATGCGGGCATGAAACATATTTTGCTGTAGCCAAACAAATTGTCCACTTGATTTATATGATATATATGTTCATCTGATTGGACTGAAGTCAGTGCTTCACCAGCCTCACCGCTCGTCACCGGTGTTTCCACATTCACAGTGGCGGGTGTTGGTGGTTAGTGCTTACAGCACAGAGATGAAGAGTGAACAGGACTTCAGCAGCAAAACAGCCTTTTCTAGATGGAAATATTGGCAATATTAAAGGTAAAAATGCGCACGTCGGGTGCACATTATGTTCCAGAACAAAACGAAAAAGTAACGCAATAGTTACTTTTACTGGTAACTAGTTACTTTTATAGTGGAGTTAGTAACTCAGTTACTTTTTGGGAGAAGTAACTAGTAACTATAACTAATTACTTTTTCAAAGTAACGTGCCCAACACTGATCATTTTCTAATAATAGCTCCTGTTTGATGTGTGCAACCTGACTGCTCCTATTTCCTCCTTTTATTCTGCTGCAAATGATGACAGAGAAATTTCCCCACTGCGGACGACTCAAGGTTGATCTCATCGTCTTCTGTTGTTGGAAACTCTTTTGCTCATGAAAGGTTCTATATAAATAAAGTGGATTTGGATTTACCTTCTTCGTCGTCGTTGTTGTGATGCTCCACTTCACCGTGCACGATGTCATTGTCCAGATTTTCATACTCGGATTTCTTTCTGTGAAACAAAAACACTGTCGGAGCCTCTCACCACAGAAGAGAGAAGAAGGCTCTTTACACACTGCCCTCATGGTGTACTCGAGTACTCAGAGTTTGTTGCTGTCATTTATAATTGTGAAATAATATTATGAACCTGATAAAACAGACGACATGTAAAGGACCTGTGCCTAACTTTTAAACTACATGCAGTAAATACGTGTTTTTGTTAATCAGCTTTTGTACAATGTTGAGTTTTGATTGTACTTTTATAGGACATCAACATGAACTATTTATGGGCAAAAATGGTTGTACATTTCTTATATGGCGGGTTTTCTTTAAAAGAAATTGTGCAATATTTATCAAATCATTATTATCATCATTAGACAGTACTTTTTAATTATATCTATGTATGTATCACATCTCAAGGTAAACAACTGTTGGTAAATGTGGTTATGTTACAAATGTTTTTACTATTTGTCATTTTAAGCAGTGTATGTGACCAACAGTAGGAGGCTGAAGCTCCTTTACTGTGGATTCAGCTTCCCGTCCAAGTCCAGGAAGAGGCCGCAGTCTCTATATTCAAGGCCAGGCTTAAAACGTTACTATTTCATTCAGCGCATATGGCTTGGACTTAAATACAATGTCAGTAAAAAAAACACAGATTGACATTTACACACATTGGTCGTCCGCTCCCTGTGGACCAATGGCTCCTGGGACTTTGTTATCATTGCATTTCCTGTGTTCGACCTGTTTGATTCTCTGACTTAGTAAAGTCCTCCGAGATCACTGCTGCTGTGATTTAGGGCTATCCACAAATTATTACACAGAGAAGTAATTGAATTGATTTGAATGTTGACATATAAACTGACCTGTGCTGCTCCTCCCTCAGCATCTGCTCTCGTCGGTCTGCGTCGCGGTGCTGCTGCTCCTCCCTGTGCTGCTCCTCCTTCAGCCGCTCCTCCCTCTGCTTCAGGACTTTCTGTCTGTCCACCTGGAGCTGCTCTTGTCTCTGCTGCATGTGTCTGCGCTCCTCTGCGCGCTGAGCCTCCAGACGCTGCTGCTCCCGCTGCTCCTCGTACGCAGACTTCACCTGTCCCTCCGCCGCAGCCTGGGCAGCCTGGGCGTGTCCGTCTGGGTGCGGCTCCTGAGGACACATGCAGAAGTATCATAGTGGCTCTGATCAGTCTGAGACCTCCACACACACTCCAGCTCATCAGGGGGAAGGCCGAGGCGTTCCCAGGCCAGAGAAGCATCCAAAACAGATGCTTGGGCCACCTCAGCTGGCTCCTCTCAACATGCAGGAGCAGCAGCTCTTTTGCGAGCTCCTCACCTCCTCTCTAAAAGAGCACCCAGAGACTGCGGAGGAGGCTCATTTCCATCACGTGTCTTTTCCGTCACTACCCAAAGCCCATGAGCATAAGTGCAGGTGCGAGCGTTGCCTGAGCGTTAAATTGAGAGCTCTGACTGCAGACGCTGCTCCCTCTTCACCACAACAGTCTGATTCAGTAACTGCATCACTGCACACGCTGCACCGATCGTCTGTTAATCTCACGCAACATGCCCAGCTCTGACTCCGGTCTCAGCACAGGACCCCGGAGAGCCCTCTAACGGCCCCTGGAACTATGAGGAGTTCTCCAAACGACTCAGGACGTACCATGTGTTCCTGCTGGTGTTCGATGGCGTTCTCATCCGGGAGTCCCCCCTCCTCCTCCGGCTCCTCCTCCAGTTGTTGGGGCTGTCCCGCCTGAGCCATGTGCTCCTCAGCCAGCTCCCTGCGCCTCTCCGCCTCCCCCTCCTGGTCTTCCTCTGCTGCGCCCCCATTCTCATCCTTCTGGGGGTGGTGGGCTTCAGTGGGGTGGGACTGGGGCTCTGGGGCGTGGGCGTGCGGGTCGTCCTGTTGGTGGTCCAGCTAAGAAAAAGTAGAGATGAATGAATTTCAAATATCTGCATGAGATGGACACTTGCTGGCTCCTAATTGGAGCAGAGTCTTCACCTTGGCGCCCTCTGCTGGCTGGACAAGACTGAGGCTTTCCTCCTCTTTGGAGGCATGTGGCGCCGCCTGCTGGTGGGAGGCAGGTGCAGCTCCTGGGTGGGACAGGGCCACAGCAGCATGCTCAGACTGTTTCAGGACACTCAGCTGCTTGTAGTGATCTACTTGGACCTGGAGGGAGGAGGAAAAGCTTATGGAACATTACAGATCACAGACAGAGTGAACAGACAGAGAGTGAGCAGACAGAGTAAGCAGACAGAGTGAGAGTAGACAGAGTGAGAGCAGACAGAGAGAGAGAGCATGCAGAGAGTGAGCAGACAGAGAGTGAGCAGACAGAGAGTGAGCAGACAGAGAGTGAGCAGACAGAGAGTGAGCAGACAGAGAGTGAGCAGACAGAGTGAGAGCAGACAGAGTGAGAGCAGACAGAGTGAGAGCAGACAGAGTGAGAGCAGACAGAGTGAGAGCAGATGTGTTCATGGAGAATCATGTGTTTATATGAATGAATGAATGAATAGTTTTTATTATTGTGTCTTACATACACACTGTATGCCCAGCCCTAATGGGCTTATAAGACACCAGTAACACCAACAAAAGCACCAGATGCCACTTATAATGATGTGCATGCAAAGGCAGACACAACATGCACGAGTTTGGCTTTTGCTCAGCTGATGTCTAACTGAAACTGTTCAGGTGATACTGTACACCTACTGTACACTTACTGTACACTACTGTACACCTACTGTACACCTACTGTACACTACTGTACACTACTGTACACTTACTGTACACCTACTGTACACCAACTGTACACTTACTGTACACTACTGTACACCTACTGTACACCTACTGTACACCTACTGTACACCAACTGTACACCTACTGTACACCAACTGTACACCAACTGTACACCTACTGTACACCAACTGTACACCGCCGACTATGACGCTTTTCAAGTGTTTCTGACAAAGCCTCAATGGACCGCCTGAGCCTCCGGAGTGAACGCTGCACAGTCTGTGTCTGTGCAGCGCTCACTCTGCACAGTCTGTGTCTGTGCAGCGCTCACTCTGCACAGTCTGTGACTGTGCAGCGCTCACTCTGCACAGTCTGTGTCTGTGCAGCGCTCACTCTGCACAGTCTGTGACTGTGCAGCGCTCACTCCGGAGGAGACAAACTATCGACTCAACAAGTCAGAAAGTGAAATGATAAACATCACATTCAGTGCCATTTGAGTCCAAGATGTGGAGACTGGTGTGGCTCTGCTTTTAACTGTTTGTTTGGTCATTATTTTCTTATGCAGCATTAAAAAAAAACATGGACATCAAGAATATAATAAGGTTGAATTGATATTTATTTGCTAATCCAGAGAGATGTTCTACCAACATCTAATTGTGATGAAATGTTTGTGAAGAAAATGGTATTTTGAATGAAAGAGTCGGCTCCTTTAAATACCTAACACACAGAACTGTGTAAAAGTTTAATGTCAAGATCATGTCATTCTATCACAGACATAGATCCTTCTTCTCTCGATTTACAGAAAATAGAATGTTCAGGCAACTGTTCTGTTTCAGATTGTTCTGGATATGATCTAAGGTCGATGTATCGTCCTCTTCATCTGCCGCTTCATCACAGGCTTCAAAACTTTATGAAATGTAACTGGAAGCATTTGCATCAAACTGAACTTGGAAAGAATCTTTTTTCAAATCTTTCAGAACATTTTTAAAGAAAATTAAGAAAAACACTTTGGGAATAAGGAGGTCCCTGATGTAAAGATCTTCTCTAAATGCCTCTGTAGGATGTGACAGTGATGATGATAATAATAGTAATAATAATAATAATAATAGTAATAATCATAATCATAATAATCCTTCCCCAGAGCCTGTGGTACCTGAGCTGCAGCCAGAGCACTCTTGTGATCTTCCAGAGTCAGAGCGAGCTGATCATGAGCCGCCTTCAGATCGAGGTGGTGAACCTGGATTTCATTGGTTTGTTTTAATCATGAAGTTATTCAAACAGAACAATATAAGAGCAGTTATGCTACAATGTGGCACATTTGTAATTACTGTATAACTTTGTATATGATACTTCATTGATAACAAATAAAATCATACACAAATAAATAAAAATAAATAAATGCAAATCTATGTAAAAAACAGACAAATATAAATAATAAAAACATGACAGTAGCTAGCTCGACAGAGGATTGACAGAATAGTGCCTTACCTGTGCATCCTGGAGCTGCACGTGGATGTCGTGGTGGGCCTTCCTCAGCTGCTTGTTCTCCTCCCTCAGGTTAGACATACTTTCTGAAAATAAACAAGACAGAAAGAGATAAGTCTGCACATCAGAACGTTTAGGGTCCAACAAGGCACGTGTACTTTTTCATTCAGGCACAAGACAAAGCCCCTGAAACTGAAAGAGCAACGTTTCTCCAGTAGTTTTATGAGAACTACTGGAGAGAAACAGAGAAACACTTTATATTGGCAAGAAATTCACTTAATTATTTACCTCTAATCATCAGGTGTGTTCTCAGGTTTTCTCTGAGGACTTTAGATTTAAATATTAAACCAAAAACAAATAAAATAAATAATCTTTTGTCACAGCTTTCGTGATATAGAAATGCACCACAATACCAAGGCACTACTCCACAACGTAGAACAAGGAAGTAGGTATTTAGAATGAATTTGGATGCAACCTTATACTGTCTATAAAAGGTGTTCTCCAGAGGCATTACCCTAAGGTCAAATGTATAAACAAAAAATCACATATTCACTGAACTTCAGGATCTGAAAAACTAATTCATCCAATGAATAGTTTATCACAGCCGAAGAACCATACTCCTTCACATAAACCTGTCATATGTGGGCAGATACACAAACACAAATACACACAGACACACACACACTCACACTCACACCCACACCCAGAGAGACACAGACACAGATACAGACTCACACACACTCAGCAACACACAGACACAGACACACTCACACTCACACTCACAGACACATACACACACAGAGAGACCCAGACACAGATACAGACTCACACACTCAGCAACACACACACTCACACCCAGACACACAGAGAGACACAGCTACAGACTCACACCCTCAGCAACACACAGACACACACACACTCACACCCAGACACACGCACACACAGAGAGACACAGATACAGACTCACACACTCAGCAACACACACACTCACACCCAGACACACAGAGAGACACAGATACAGACTCACACCCTCAGCAACACACAGACACACACACACTCACACCCAGACACACGCACACAGAGACACAGATACAGACTCACACCCTCAGCAACACACAGACACACACACACACTCACACCCAGACACACAGAGAGACACAGATACAGACTCACACCCTCAGCAACACACAGACACACACACACACTCACACCCAGACACACAGAGAGACACAGATACAGACTCACACCCTCAGCAACACACAGACACACACACACTCACACCCAGACACACGCACACACAGAGAGACACAGATACAGACTCACACCCTCAGCAACACACAGACACACACACACACTCACACCCAGACACACGCACACACAGAGAGACACAGATACAGACTCACACACTCAGCAACACACAGCCACAGACACACACACGCACACACACACACACACACTCAGACACACACACAGACCTTTGAGCTGGGCCACCTCCTGCTCTCGGGCCTGGGTGAGCCGGTCGTACCGCTCCTTGTGCTCCCCCAGGAGGCGGCTGTGGTCCTCCCCCTCCGTCTGGTGCGTCTCCTGCAGGTTGGTGTACTGCTTCTTCAGGTCCTCGTGCTGGTTCTACACAAATACAAAACACACTTCTGTTAGCGCCTGATGGTCTGGAAGTCAAAGCCACACATTTTTAGATCAGCTTTTCCAGACACAAATCCCTCAGCCAATCAGCTCTCAGCCCAAAGAGTCCAACAGTGACTCACAGGGCCCTATGCAAATCTGAGTGTGTTTACAAACAAGATGAAGACGGCATGTTGTGTCTGATTTCATCATAAAATGTTACTTTTACAAAACTCTTTGCACTGGCACATGGTTCTGAATGACGTCTGGCGCCACCTGCAGGTAAAAGCAGATCTCGACCGCTGAAGCTAAGCAGGGCAGGGCGTGGTTAGTGCTATGACGGGAGACCTCTGGGAACACTGTGGCACCTGGCTGCGGCTGTAAGGTGTCAAACTATTGTTGTGTTGTTAGGCAAGACACTTCACGTGTGTGTGTGTGTGTGTGTGTGTGTGTGTGTGTGTGTGTGTGTGTGTGTGTGTGTGTGTGTGTGTGTGTGTGTGTGTGTGTGTGTGTGTGTGTGTGTGTGTGTGTGTGTGTGTGTGTGTGTGTGTGTGTGTGTGTGTGTGTGTGTGTGAAAATTGATGGTAGTTGGTGCTTCTGTCAGTGTGCCCCAGGGCAGCTGTGGCTACAGTGGTATGCTTTGTTGTTTGAAGTGAAAGGATAATGACATGTGAAGCAGCACTGAGAGTCCAAAAAGCACTGTATAAAACCGATGCATGATGATGATTATTATTATTATTATTATTATTATTATTATTATTATTGGTAAATGTGACCTTACCTTCAGCATCTGGTGTTGGACGTGTAACGAGTTAAATCTGCCGTTGGCGTCTGACTAAAGTATAAAGAAAAGTCCATTTATTGAACACAGCAGAATATTTGAACATTGTCAAATGTGCAGGATTATTATTTAAAACACACCTTTTCCTTATTTAGGCTCTGCTGCGTTTCAAGTTTGTACACGAGAAAATCTAAAAAAGAAATTGAATGTCATGTCTAAGCAATAGTTAGTTTTGGGTGTCACAAAATATAATTGAATCTTTATTGTTGAGAGAAATACCAATACCACAAACAGATATTTTGCAAGGATTGTCACATGAAGCAACAGCTGAATTCAGAAAAGAGGACATTACATAGAATGGGCTGAAGACAGAAAAGTGAAAAAGAGGACCAGCCAATCAGCTCTCAGCGTCAAAAAGTGTCAAAAAGTGCCTCAGAGTGACTACGAGTGACTACGAGTTTGCATAAAGTTGTTCTGTTGGGATAAATACACAAGTTAAGTACCCCAGCTTTACTAAGGCAGTCTCCAAAGATGGCTATTACTTGATTTGTTGTGGTTTCGAAGGTTTCAAAGGCTTTAATAGTACATGTGCAAATGGAAATGTGAATGGGATCCTCAGTTTTGCTCCTTCGCTGTGCAGGGATTTGAGGAAAATGCTCAAATCAAAGACCACAGACTATTTATTCAATTTCAAAGTTTTTTCACTCCAGTAATTAAAGTAATCCAAATCTATAATTCCGCTGTCATTATTTTTCAACAGTCCAATTTCATTAGTTTGTGTCTGATGTTTTTGGGACTGGTTGTTGGGTTATCTGTAGTTGCTTTCAGTGGACAGGAGGGGGAGCCTTGAGGTTTGATTTCAATTCCAATTACCTCGATAAATTGGTTAATTTTTTGAACTAGAAAATAAATGAAAATGTTGCACATCAACTGCAATGGTTATTGTTATTATTAGTATTTATATATTTATCTTTATTTCATTTTTTGATTAATTACTCATTCTAGGTCCGTGTACTTTTGCGTTCAATACATATTCTATTTTTGAATGGAAATGGAAAATCGAAAAAAGGCTATTTTGCATTTTCAGGCACACAGCGATATACAAAAATGACCATTTTGGTTTTTTCATTGCTTATAAAACATATGTATTATAATAAACGGATTTGGGAACTAGAAAATGCAACAATTGACCTTTTTTTATTGTGTATTTCATACATTTCGGCGTCAATCGATTACCCGGAAGTGTAACAAGTTTGTTTACTTCAGCCATATTCGCTCTTGTATTTGTCCAAACACAGACGTTCTGTGATAATTCTAATCCCGTGAAAATCAATGTCAGTGATTGTGATTGCTGCTTTCTCTACTTTCTGCGTTCTGCCGAAATGTATTAAATACATAATAAAAAAAAGTTCCCAAATCCGGTTATTATAATATATATATATATATATGTCTTATTAACAATGAAAAAAACCAAAATGGTCATTTTTGCATATCGCCGTGTGCCTGAAAGTGCAAAATAGCCTTTTTTTTCAATTTTCCATTTTCCTTCAAAAATAGAAAATGTATTGAACGCAAAAGTACACGGACCCAGTCGTTATCTCGGAGGACCGTCGAATTTGCCAACACAGATTAGAGAATCAAACACAAGAAATAAAACAGAAATCCCACTGGTATTGGTCCATAACGGGCAGATGTCCAGAAATGTTTTGGCTATTATCCGGGTCTAACTTCTGCAGTCGTGACTTCAGGCGGTTAGAAAAGTGTATAAAGTGTGAAGAGTTTTACAGCCTTAAAACATACAGCTGCTACTTCACAGATTTGTTTATTGCGGGTTATTTTTTAGAACGCAACCCCGCCATAAACGAGGGACCACTGAATTAAACTAAGAATGTGTTTTTTAATAAGGCCAAATATCCATGTTTTCATTTGATCACGATTCATGTATTCTATAACCAGTTTTACACACATACAAGTAGATTTCATTCAACTGATTAACCACATTTTTATTTGTTTTATTTTGTTTTTTCCATCCGTAGCTCTGAATATAACTTCTTACCTTCTTTGGCTTTTTTGTGTTCCAGCCGCTCCTTCTGAAGAGACTTTTCCAACCGGGACCTGTGCTCGTACACCACTGCAAACACAAGACAGAGAAGGCCTCTTTTAAAACCAAAATGTTCCCTGCACCAAGAACACGCTGCCATATTCTCAACATTCAGGTTTTTTTCCTTTTAATCCCAAAAAAATTCAATCATTTCTAATTCTCCTGTGAATTTGTGCAAGTTCTTGTGTTTCAATATCATCGCGGTGTTTCTATATAATAATACATCAACTCACACTGTACATGAATGGGAAATGGCTCAATGAAGGCCAATAAGGAAGTGCTCATGGACAAAGTTTTGCTCCAACATGCTCCTTTTGACTCGCATTGAACAGCCATGGTTTAGACTCTCTATGATCCTGGTGTGAGAGTCAGGCTAGTTGAATCCAAACCTATCAGAAAATAATATCCAAACTCATGTTTAATAGTTAAAGCTGCACTAACTCACTTTGTGAAATGTTCGAATGTGAGCGCTGGCCTCGCTCTCTCAGCTCCCCCTCCCCGCACCCACAGAGCCTTTGCCCCCCACTACCCCCCTCCCCCTCAGCCTGTGCTCATGTGCTAACTGTGTACGGAGCTCGCGTCTCACAATATGGATCGCACATCTGAACGTGGCGTGACCGTAGAATGATAGAACCGGGAAGTGCGGAGGAACAAGACTTTCTTTTGGTTGTTTCGCTGAGTAAGCAGTAACGAAGACACAGGAAGCTTCAGATTAGCCTCCGCCGCTTGTTTACCTCAGCTGTCTGTGCTAACAAGAGACAAGAGACCTGTAGCTTTTCTCAAGAAAGTGGGGTCCAGTGGTCCGCTGTGATTGGTCACAATCTGGTCCCAAAACACATTCTCTTCCTTGTTGCACGAAAACTTGATCTAATATAAATGACACGCCAGCACAAATCTGTGCAACTTTTTCGTCAAAAGGACGTATATGATGCACTGCATGGACATGGATTGAATTTTTGTAAGTAATAAAATAATAACCTGAGGTAATGCAGCTTTAATTTGTTAAAAGATGGGAAAAAAAACTAAATAAAAAACATGTTTATAAAAGAAAAACACATTCTTCTACTAATACTTCTGGCCCAGCTCGTATGTTTTTGATTTTGGCCCCTAACAAAAATTTGTTTGACAACCCTGGCCTTAAATCACAAAAGCAGTTGCGTCGGAGGACTTTACACATTTTTTAATCACCAAAAACAGACCAGAAAATCAAAGTGTCCGAACACCAGTGTTTTGGGTCCTCCCTCTTCCCATCACAAAACTTGAGCCTCTTCACTTCACGATATGAAAGACAGGTCTATTTCCAGCCAGGATTTCTCGCCGCTTCAAAAGCCCACAGAAAGCTGACATATTTCTCACCGAAGCCCCAGCACCAAACCCAGAGTAGGGCACGGCCACGACTCACATTACAGCACTTTGTCATGACTCAACATCCGCTACAAGGTGCACGGAAAGCTCTCCTGAACACATTCACTTTGTTTCACACTGGTAACAAGCTGAAAGTAGCTCAAATGAACCCACATGCATCGGTGAGTGGTAAACAGAGCTCCACAGACAAAAGAATACATTATAAAGTGTGTCTGTGATTGCCTTGGCTCGGGTTCAAGTATTGGGAAAAAAAGTCAGATTGGAATGAACGGGAATGGGCTGTAAAAGTAACCACAAAAGTGCAGACATCACCGTATTAGGTCAACCCTACAGTGCACGGTGTACTCAAACGTCAAGTATTTTTACAACTTGGAAATGTCCTCTTTATTGCAGAAAACCAAGTCAATAGTTTTAGTAATCAGAATGCCTCAAAATGGGCTCTGGGTTGGTCTGGACTCCTGCAGAAAATAAAAGCACAGAGCGAGATTAGACTTTGTTCTGAAGTTTACTATGAGCAAATACATGGGTTAGGGCCAATTAGGTTTCTAAATGTCCCCAATTGGATGATTAAAATATGAATTAGATTTATAAAAAGTGCCAGAGAACTGTTTAAAGAAATCAGGTCAATATTCAAAATGTTAATACGTTTTTAATTTCCATACAAACGATCAGAGTATTGTACCGACGCTGAGCTCAAGTCCACTTACAATGTAACAATAATATATAGACCAATATCTACAATATGTGTGTTCTCTATTCTGTGTGTTTGAACTGTTTGATTCTCTGATCTGTGTTGGTGATTTCAATGGTTTTGTTAAGTCCTAAACCATTCTGATGTAGATTTGGCCTCTCTTTAATCATTAGTAGAAGGTTTGAACACTCACCAGTCGTTAGAACTGTTCTAAATGCACTCAGAGGTCTAAGAATACCTGCACACACCTTACTTTTCACTTTTTTGATTTATAAAATAATAACATTTTAATTCAACTTCACATATGTCTATTACTTGTGTGTAGACCCTCTGTAAAAGAATCTAAATAAAACTGTGTGATTACAGTGGTGCAATAGGAGGTGTTACACGTTTAAAGGTCTTCAAAATGATCATGTTTGTGGGAATTGTAATCTAAGTTCAGCACAGGCAGAAAAAATCTGTTAAAGTTTATAATCAAACACAGCTTTCCCATTTTGCAAATATCTTACTGTATCATATAAAGCAAAGGTGGAGTCACTAACTGTGATTGTAAGTCATATTTTTATAAGTGCATATTTTGACCAGCCGGCACAGTTGTAAAAGGAAGGTATTTTTAAAACAATATGGTTTATACATTGTTTCCTTAAGATAAAAATATATTTTATTTTATTTCATTTGTAATAGTATAGAGTTGAGCTATACTTAATGTTCACTTCACTAATCTTGTATTGTGTGCCCCTAATGTTCTGTAACTGCTCATGCAACACTGACATTTTGAAATGAAGGATCTCCTCAGTTTAATCTTAATCTTAATTTAATGCCTTCCATCTGCATAACCAGTCAAAATTGCAGAGGAAAATAGCTGAACCACAATACTACTTTTGACCAATCAGGGATTGGGCCCGTGGAAACAGGCCTATGGATCGAGAGTGTTCTCAAACAATGTTTGTGAATTCAAGTTTTTTCAAAACGTTTTGTCAGAGGGTATGGTCATTCTACAATTTTTATCTTGTATTGTCCGAGCTCATTCGGACAATTCGTCATCACTGTGGAAATCGTCACAGATGTGGACTCAGGCGTTTCACTGCCTCTCGAGGGAGAAGGAGAAAGATTGTTCTCTAACTCAATCTGTGCTGCTGTGACCCGTCCTGCACCACCCAGAGACTACTCCACCTCTGCTGCTGTGACCCGTCCTGCACCACCCAGAGACTACTCCACCTCTGCTGCTGTGACCCGTCCTGCACCACCCAGAGACGACTCCACCTCTGCTGCTGTGACTAGGGGTGTAACGATTAATCGATACACATCGATTAATCGATATAATGCTCTACGATTTGTTGGCATCGATGCTAAACGTAAACATCGATATATATCGGCCGTTTTTGACCTAGGAGATTAGACGCGACTTTATTTTGATATCCAGTTCATTGTTGCATGCTTCCTCTTTCCGGGAGCAGTGCGCGGCGCGGCGTGTTGTGAGGCTCACACGCCGTCTATACATAGCAGGCACGTGAAAGGGGAGCCGACGGCTACGCAGCTCCTGGGCGGGTGCTATGGCTAATGTCCAAGAAGACGAGGAAATTCAAATGTCATTTTAGAATACGTTCCTGTCGCAAAAAAAACCAAAGCAATGGAGGACCTGTTTGGGGACACATACACCACTGTGAGCAGCAGCTTTACGAAAACATCCAAGCAGCGGGCAGAGATGGAAGTAAATAAATATAAAGAGACTGAATTATTAACACTCAAAGGTAATCTGTTAGAATGGTGGGGAAGTCATGAAATGGAGTTTCCCCTCCTTGCAAATCTAGCCAAAATCTATCTCTGTATTCCTGCTACAAGCGTGCCCTCCGAGCGTGTATTTAGCACTGCAGGTGACATTGTCCGCTCAGAACGGAGTGTTTTGACACCTGAGCATGTCGATCAGTTGATTTTCTTGAAGAAGAACCTAACAAAGAAAGCAATATCACATCTTTCAATGGACTAAACAAACATGTGACAAACTACTTTTGATTTTGCACTACATGTTGTATTATTGGCCATATTGAACAGTTCAGAGTAGACAAGGTGTAATGTTGAAATTCTCTATAAAGAGTTATATATTAAGTTATTTTTGTTATGTAGAAGAGTTAAATAACACCATACATTTATTTATAGTTCTCCGTTATTGCTCTGGTTTATTTATTTTTGCATTTGGATATGGTCAAAGTGTAATGTTTACTACATTTTTGTTTTGTAATGAAATAGTTCAGTAATGCACTTTAAAGTTGAATGGTATTACAAAAAAAAAAAGAGTTCATTGTACTTTACTTACATGGGAAATAAAAGTTCAGTATTACAATAAGCACTTTGTATACTACAATACTCTAATTGCCTAAATAAAGAGTTTGCAGTACCTTGTTGATTGTGTATGAATTGTTATAAATCAGGATATTATATATCGATCGTGGAGCACTATATCGTGATGTATTGTGAATGAATCACAGCAGACTTTAAGATATCGGCAAATATCGTATCGTGGTTCTTTGTATCGATATGATATCGTATCGTGACAAAACTCGCGATTTACACCCCTAGCTGTGACCCGTCCTGCTCCACTTAGAGACTACTCCACCTCTGCTGCTGTGACCCGTCCTGCTCCACCCAGAGACTACTCCACCTCTGCTGCTGTGACCCGTCCTGCTCCACCCAGAGACTACTCCACCTCTGCTGCTGTGACCCGTCCTGCTCCACCCAGAGACTACTCCACCTCTGCTGCTGTGACCCGTCCTGCTCCACCCAGAGACTACTCCACCTCTGCTGCTGTGACCCGTCCTGCTCCACCCAGAGACTACTCCACCTCTGCTGCTGTGACCCGTCCTGCACCACCCAGAGACTACTCCACCTCTGCTGCTGTGACCCGTCCTGCTCCACCCAGAGACTACTCCACCTCTGCTGCTGTGACCCGTCCTGCTCCACCCAGAGACTACTCCACCTCTGCTGCTGTGACCCGTCCTGCTCCACCCAGAGACTACTCCACCTCTGCTGCTGTGACCCGTCCTGCACCACCCAGAGACTACTCCACCTCTGCTGCTCTGACCCGTCCTGCTCCACGCAGAGACTACTCCACCTCTGCTGCTGTGACCCGTCCTGCATCACCCAGAGACTGCTCCACCTCTGCTGCTGTGACCCGTCCTGCACCACCCAGAGCCTACTCCACCTCTGCTGCTGTGACCCGTCCTGCTCCACCCAGAGGCTACTCCACCTCTGCTGCTGTGACCCGTCCAGCTCCACCCAGAGCCTACTCCACCTATGCTGCTGTGACCCGTCCTGCTCCACCCAGAGACCACTCCACCTCTGCTGCTGTGACCCGTCCTGCTCCACCCAGAGACTGCTCCACCTCTGCTGCTGTGACCCGTCCTGCTCCACCCAGAGACTGCTCCACCTCTGCTGCTGTGACCCGTCCTGCTCCACCCAGAGACTACTCCACCTCTGCTGCTGTGACCCGTCCTGCTCCACCCAGAGACTGCTCCACCTCTGCTGCTGTGACCCGTCCTGCTCCACCCAGAGACTGCTCCACCTCTGCTGCTGTGACCCGTCCTGCTCCACCCAGAGACTGCTCCACCTCTGCTGCTCTGACCCGTCCTGCTCCACCCAGAGCCTACTCCACCTCTGCTGCTGTGACCAGTCCTGCTCCACCCAGAGCCTACTCCACCTCTGCTGCTGTGACCCGTCCTGCTCCACCCAGAGGCTACTCCACCTCTGCTGCTGTGACCCGTCAAGCTCCACCCAGAGCCTACTCCACCTATGCTGCTGTGACCCGTCCTGCTCCACCCAGAGACCACTCCACCTCTGCTGCTGTGACCCGTCCTGCTCCACCCAGAGACCGCTCCACCTCTGCTGCTGTGACCCGTCCTGCTCCACCCAGAGACTGCTCCACCTCTGCTGCTGTGACCCGTCCTGCTCCACCCAGAGACTGCTCCACCTCTGCTGCTGTGACCCGTCCTACTCCACCCAGAGACTACTCCACCTCTGCTGCTGTGACCTGAAGGACTGCTGTCGACTATTACTATTGTTATCTTTTTAGATTGATCAATTTTATTTTTGCTGCTACTGGACACCTGAAGACACCAGGGATCATTAATGTATCTATCTATCACTCTATCCATCTATCACTATCTTTCACTCTATCGATCTAGCTATCTATCTATCACTATCTATCTATCGCTATCTATCTATCTATCAATCACTATCAATCTAAAGCTTGACAGAATCAATGAAAAAACTACCATGGACACGTGTATGAGGCCGAATACCACTGTAATCATGTTTAAAGCTGAGAAAAGTCAAAAAAAGTAATATGGGTCCTTTAATGTTAATGCTTA